AAATCGAGATGACAAGAAGAAAAGATCTAAGTGACTTTAAAAGAGGGTTTATTTTTGGGGCATAGATGAGAGCAGCTCAACTGGCTAGTATTTCAATAGGAATAGTGAATAAAGTGACAGCTGCATTTAGATCTATGGGAAAAACCTTAGTGAACACAACTAGAAATCATGGTTGAAAGTGCGGTGATGTGATGCTTTTGCATTAGAACAATGTGTAAGGAAAACAGAAGAGCAACTGTTCCTCAGGTGACTGAGAATATCAATGCTCAACGTAATCAGACTGTGTCAGCTAGAACAGTCTGCCCTCAACTACATACTAAATGCATGCATTTATCCCGTGTTAAAACATTTCTATCATAATGGAAGTGGTCTCGCCCAGGATGACAATACCCCATTTACAAGACACAAGGGGGTCACTGAATGTTTTTTCAGTATGGTCATTGCAGATACTAGAGCTCAACCCAACTCAGCCCAGTTTAACTGACATGTGTTTTGAACTGATGTGTTAGACAGCATTATCCACCTCCATCTTCACAACACCAACTGAGGGAATATTTTTTGGAAGAATGGTGTTCCCTCTGTTTGATACAGTTCCAGAGACTTATAGAATCTATGCTAAAGCTTGAAGCTCTTCAGGTAGCTCGTAGTGACCCAACACCATAGATACTTCATGCTGTTTTTTCCTTACATATGATCCCATATACATGTTGAATATTTATATAGTATACTTATCACTTATATAATACATTATAATGCATTATGCATTTATTACATTGTTGACTGTTAATACTAGGAAATTAAAGTATTTAAATAAGATCTTAGATGTAATTAATATCTGGTATTCTGATATGCTTTCAACTGTGATGCTAAAGTTTCCTTTTCAAAATTCAATATTAAATCCCCTTATTTGCAGCACAGCACTCTTAATCTGTCCTTGTCTTCAACACAGACACACACTTATATAGCGGGGTGGACGGCACAGTTTTCAGTCTCTGCCATAAATTCCAGGCATTTGATAAATTATGAAATAGCAGCACATGAAAGCTGAACATATTTGCTAAAAGAAGATACTTCCTGTGATAGAAAATATTTCTTGGAATAAGTGACTTTATGACTAAATTCATGTTGTGCATTTGACGGTCAGCACGTTAAAAGGTTTTAACTTCAAAGAATGAAGCAAACAGAAATAGAAATAATCTGAAGTTTTAATTTAAACCAAACCTCAAATATAAACATTCAGTGGCAACCAAATAACATTTTTGAATTGATAACATATGAAATATAAGAAATGTTTCAATTCTTTTCAACGCTGGCATGTGTTAAAAAGTAATAAGAACAATAATAAGTAAAATTATACTTGGCCACTTTACCATATTCAAATATTTTGTCTTTCTTTAGCCAATATTTAAGCATCACAATTTTAATAGACAATTTTTTGTTTCTAAACTAATTTGTTTCTAGTTAGTTGATATAAGCACCCACATCCTAATCAATAAATCTATTTTAGTAGTAAAAAAAATTAGTATGATATTTACCCTGCAAGGAAAAACCAGCATAGACCAGCATGGCTGGTCACCAGCAAAACCAGCATATGTTGTGTTTTGCAAGTTAATATGCTGGTCAGCAGCAGTAGAAGTCAATATGGTGGTCTCCACCTAAACCAGCATATGATGTGTTTTGAATGCTTGTATACTGGTCAACCAGCATGACCATGCTGGGTGACCAGCTAAACCAGCACCAGACCAGCACTAAACCAGCTTAAACCAGATTGTGCTGTTTTTTTTTTTTTTCAAAAGGGCAGTATGCCCGCAGCACATAATGTAAAATAATATACGTTTGTGAAAGTAGTCCTATACTTGAGAAGGCTGACACGTGCCAATCAACCCCAAAGTCAATGTGCTAATAAAACCAAACCATATCCGGGCACAGCTTTATAATTGCTTCATGTTAGCTACCTAGCATTACTTACATTTACTCAGGGATACTTTTTTTGTTTCAACACAGAAAAATTAAAAGTTAGCCCCAGAGAATGTGTTAAAACAGAAAATAATATGATACATAATGCATTACAATGGGTAACACAGGTAAGTGTGTTGTTGTTAACACCACTTTCTTGAGAGTAAATGTATGACTAAATACAAAATAGGCTTACTGTATTGAGTAGCACCATCATAGGAACAGATGACTTGCAGCAAGTCAGTGGCTGGTTAGGTATTCAGTGTGTACATATATGCAACTGTAGATCATCGTCAGTCATAAACTGCACTAATGTCAGCTCTTGAGCATGAATGATAAATGACAGGTCTTACCTCTTCTTTCCTTGAACAAGCGCAGTCCACTTTTTAAATGAGGTCAGTAGATGTGCTGCAATAATACCAAAACAAGGCACAGATAAACACAACCAGCACGTACACATCATCTCAGAACAGCGATGACTGAAAATCGGTGTTGAGACGTTGGCCGAACGGGGAAGTCAACATACTTACTGCTGAGTAAGGAATTCTGCATATCTCCTCTTATAGTAACTGCTATTTCTGATGGCCTTTAGGGGTTCAAGGAAGTTCAGGAAATGCAGTCTTTTTCTTTCTATGCTGTGAGGCTTCCTGAGCATAACCACAAACTATTTTCTCAACCTGTCAAATGTGCTACAAGTGCTTCTCGAACTCCGCCTGTAAACCTGAATTATGAGAGTTGTGGACAAAGTTGCGTTACTGTACTTTTATCAGCTGTGTAAAGATTAGCTGAATGGTATCTTCATATTATACACAAACAAGACAATCCAAATGATGAAATTATGATTTGGTATGAGGTTCACAGTTGAAATGTGGAGAATGACTTTTATGTATAAGGCATACTACCTTAACATTCTGTATTAATCCAAATGCAATCTGTTCCATCACAGAAAACAAAGAACCAGTTGTTACAAATTACTCATTTTTAATAAAGCTTCATGTTCATGTTAATGCTACTTCACACTTTAACCTAAAGCTGTATGTAACACATGATATGAAAAATTAAAGCCCATGCTTCCATCATAAGTTCATGCGGGGATAGCAGAGGGAGTAGGGCCAACATAGGCCGTAATCTGTAGTGAAAAACAGCTTTTAATCTGGCATTATTTGTGATGTTAGAATGTCAGACTTGTGCTACTCTCAGAGTAAATACTTCACCAGCGCGACAGGGAAATTTTCATCTATTTTGTCACTACCCACTCAGATGCTCTTTTAGTTCTATTTCCTATTGTCTTAGAAAACGTTTCATACTTCTCAGATATGAGAACTGCATGTTAATTACTCAAATAAGCAGTGCTGCTGAAGCATCACACATCCTGCTAATTTTTTATCTGATCATGGCAATCGCACCTGCCAGATGAAATGAAAACTGCCACAATAAGTAAAGTCCCTTTGTGCTGTGTTTAGTAGTGGTGTATTATTTGTATGTTAGACCACAGTGAATGAAAGTACTTCAGTGTTACAGAGGGAAAAGTCTGTACTTACATGTAGTCCTATTAAGAGTGCGAAAGTTTAGGGAAGTTGTAAGGTCCTAGCAGCGCTTCACTCTCACAGCACTTCCTGTGGCCCGTCACTAGACTTCAACACTTTAAGCTGCTCTAACAAACAAACATAAACAGAAGTGGTTGATACGTACTAAAGATTTGTTATTATTGTGGCATTTGAGGACTTGGAAACCATACTGATATTTGAAAATACTAAGAGAGAGGTTTGTCTCAGATGACAGACAGGAGTTTTAGAATACATCCCAAGGCACATGCGTGTTAAAAGCTTCTAAAAATATCAACACAATCCTTAGCATTTTATGTGCAAAGTTTTATCACTGGAGCATCAGAGACGCCTCTACTCAGATTCAAAAACTGCACAAATATCCCAAATGTTACCTCCTTCCCCTTCTCTGCTTGGAGTTTGTGTTTTTGTGTGTGTTTGTGGAGTTTTGTCAAGCGCTGCAAGTATTATGGTTAATTAGCACCAGTCACTATAGTCCACATCAACATTCGCAACATCAAGAAGCTTGTAGCTTATCATCAATCCACATGGTGGCACTGTAACAAAAGGCAAAGAGGCAAAAAAGAAAATGATGCCTGAGGCAGCCTGTAAAGTTCTTTTTGTCCAAGCACAGTTATGAGAAAATATTGGGTACTTTATGCATAATTGAATTATTGATTTAGCAAGTACAGCTATAATTTTCCATCCAAAGGCCAAGCAAGTGTTCTGCTGTTCACAAAGAACACAAAAACTGTTCACACTTAAAATGATGATCATTAGCTACTGTCTCTTGAATTCAGAGCTGATAAACTTGTATGTTATTAGGAAATGCATCATTACATCAATAACCTTCTGGCACTTTACTTTTTACTAGCTTTCCACAGCCAACCACCTGGTGTATACTATAGTTTTCCCCATTCTTAATGTAAAGCATTCTTGTGTTTGTGAAAGGTACCATTTAAAAATATATAGTATTATTATTATTATTATTATTTATTGTATTATAATTAGTATTAGTAGTATTAATAGTAGTACTACATTAATTTAGTCAAATATAATTATGAACCAAGGTGAAAACCCATTCAGAATAAATGGGTTCCAGGAAGACAATCATTTATAGGGTTGTGTTTCCCAGACAAAGATCAAGTCTCATCTTGGTCTAAACTGCAGTGCCAGTGGTGATTCACCATTGAAAAGTCTTTTTAGCCTAGGGTTAGGCTTAAACTCTGTCTAGGAAACCAGGCCAGTGGTCTTAATATGTTAAGCACAATAGCTACTCACTCAGCAAAAGGCAAATTATGGGATAGTAGATTAAGGTAAAGCGAGGTAAGGTAAGGTAAGGTAAGGCAAGCTAAAGTGAGGTAATGTAAGGTGAGGTGAGCTACCCTTCATGAACTGTGAAGCAGCAGTGAAGTGTGTGGAGTAAGAGCCGCTACACACCCTGAAACTACATAGAAAATCAGGAAGCTGAGAGGAAGGGGGCGGGGCCTAAACACTCCGCTACCTTCCTCAGCTCACACTCGAAACTGGCAGCAACCTGCGCCTTAGCAAAAAACAAGAAAAAAACAAGAAGACGAAGAAGAAGTCTGTTAGCAGGGCCGCTTTAAACAGGTTGGTCATTCGCCTCATATACGTTTATTTTGTGTGGTAAATTAGAATTGCCATTAATTGTTTAGATGCTGTACAACCTGCCTGTAATTACACAGGAAGTTATGAGCCAGGCTATAAACTGTAAACTCCAATGTGCTCTCCGTCTAACTGTCCTCATACACTCACAGACAGCCTGCTTTCAGTCTCACATCACTGCGGCTTTATTATCCATCCAGACGAGCAAAAGCACAATTTTATGTGATAGAAGGAGGAAATGGGATGAGTCGAAGGGCGTTCATAAGACATTTTTTACGCAGGTGACGTGTGTCATTCATCCTCAGTATGTAGGCTGTTGGTCTAATCCTGGCACTCTTATATGGGGATTTTGTGAACAAGAAAAGAAGCTCAACTGCTGCTTGGCACTTTTTCCTTTGTGTATTTTTATATGTGTAGTAGGCTACTCCTCCTCGAATAAGGATTCAGTCATAAACAGGGATGGACAGTATCGGAATGCAGGTACTCAGCTGATACAGTTATTTGATTTGCTGCACTTTGGAAACTTTGTACGTTGGACGAATCTACTAAATGATTTATGTATTTACTCTAAAGGTTTATTGAACTTGAGTGTTGAACTGAAGTGCTGTTTGCGAGGTTTGGGCAGTAAACTCATAGGCCTAAATATTGATTGTCATTAAGCTGGTTAACTGAATGTAAAAATCAGTTCAAATGCAGTCTTTATGTTCACTTTCACATGTAAATTTGAGGAAATATTAGGCTTTTGAAGGTACTTTAATAGTTTAACAGAAGACTTAGTGATGCTTGACTTACACTTTTATCATCATATTGCATTAGGGGATGGCGAAATGGCAAAAATACACAATATGCATCACGATATTCAGTTTTTCTGAGATTTGTTAAATTGGAATAGACAGAAAAGCTCCAGTATTGCTACATTATAAAATACCATTAAAGGTATGAGTACAATGGGCCTCATTCACCAACTGTTCTCAAGAAGAAATGTCTTCTTAAACCCACTTACTCAGTTTTCACGAAGATTTGCAAACAATTCTGCAGTTTAAGAACACATCATGAATCTGACATAGACTTTTTTTAAGGATCATTCTCAAGAACAAATTTAAGAAAAAAACATTGGAAGATATTGGTGAATGAGGCCCAGTTTTGTACTCAAAATTTCATATACTACACTACACTAAATAAATAAATAAATAAATAAACAGAACTAATTATGCTGTCTTTGTAATGAAGGTACATCTTTAATTACTGACAACATCCACTGTAAGCTCAGGAAAGAATATTGTGACCTAATTTGTCACAATAACGGTAGAATATGTTTATATTGTCCAAACCAATATTACACCAAGTTACTTATACTTTTATTAAGGTACTGCGCTTGTGCGCCTCATCTAGTGGTGGTGATAGTCCAGGTCATATAGTATATGGTACTCATATATATCATATATAAAGCAACACTGTATTTCTTTATTCTGATAGGAATCAAAGAATCCAAGTATCCAAAGAATCAAAGAATCTGAAGTAGCTTTTTTTCTAAACTTTCTTTTCTGACTGCAAGCTAGAAAAAGTGCCTTGATTAGAAAGTCAGGTTCAACAAAAGTTGAGTTGAGAAATGTGTTGGCTCTGGAAAATGGCCTTAATTTGAAAAACATCCGTTTAATTGTATGAGAATTCTTTTCATTATTCAATTAAGTTAAAGTAAAGTATGATTTTTTTGAGTGTTGGCATCTGATTACTGAATCACCCAATATGACGGTGTGCATACCATACAGGTGACTCACTGTAAAGGTGCTCATACTCGATACAAATGACTCACAGTAGACTCTACAACCAGAGGAAAATAAAATGGTCAGTGACATCACAAATGACAACTCGGTCCAAATTATTCGTGTAACTATGCTTACTCTGCATAGCACCTATGAACTTTGCCGAATCAGGAGGCGAAATGCGGTATGTGAGAGTGGTTTGATAATACTCTAATGATAACGCAGAAAAACATAAGTGCATGAGACTCACTTTTTAAAAATAATATTTGCTGCAGTCTCACAACCATGAATGGAAAACTCAAAATCTCATGGCTACTCTCTCTCTCTCTCTCTCTCTCTCTCTCTCACACTCTCTCTTCCTCTCTCTCTCTCTCCCCCTCTTTCTCTCTCTCTCTCTCTCTCTCTCTCTCTCATGCTCTTCTTCACACTCTCTTTCTCTCTCTCACTCTCTTTCTCTCTCTCTCTCACACACGCTCTCTATCTCACGCTCTCTCTCTCACAAAACAATAAAATGAAAAAATTGAAGAGTGGTGCTAATTGGTCAAAATGGGTGGACGTGCTGCTTGAGGGACCCTGTCAAGGATGGATGATACTAGCTTTTGAATTTGACCTCTCTGAATGCTGAAATGATTCCATTTACTCTTTATCATATCATTAATATATGTTGCTAAGATATGTCATTAATGAATGATTAGATGATATTTAGGCCTAAATAAGTTGATATGATGGAGCTGATACAGCACAGATAATTGATGATATTTTTCTCAAAGTTAATTTGTTTATGTTAAATTGATATACATTATGTGCAAATGTTACACATTTGAGTATGGCAAAGGTCTGATACTAAAATGACTTTTACTATTTGAGATGTAATTTCAGTTCTGTCTATGTGGACATGTAAAAAAGCACATTACTAAAAAAGCTTTTTAACTTTAATTGGAAGCTTTTCACCCGATACCTTTAAACTTGAAATAGTTTAGCAGATTTTGTCCCTTATACTTTGCATCGAATGTTGACTCTGAACCAAACAGTGCAGTTGGTGAGTACAGACCCCATCAAATGAAAAACCAGTGTTTTTCACTTTTGCTAATCTACAGTTTTCCATCACTTACCTCCCTGTTTCAATTATGCTTATGATGACACGTCGACAGTGCGTAAGAGTGGTGCATGCTGGCGGTAAACAGCTTAACATATGAAATGCAGCAAGATTTCTTTGTTTCACTGGGAAATTATTCATTAAAAAATTAACATTTCTTGTCGAGTCCCACAAGGTTCAGTTTTATTGTGTTTGCTTTTCTCTTTGTACATGTTACCTCTAGGTGATATCATTAGGAGACATAACATCAATTTTCATAGCTATACTGAAAACATACAATTGTACATTTCCATTCCTTCTGATAATCAAGACTCTGTGGACAGACTTACCAGCTGTGTGTCAGATATTTCTCAGTGGATGTCACAAAATTCAGAGAAAAAATGCTTTATAAGAAGTTCGGCTCTTTAGCTTTGTATATCAAACCTGATGTATGAAACATGGGTGTGATCTTAGGTTCTGAGCTCTGTTTTATCTGGTATGTATATGCAGTTACTAAAGTAGCTATTTATGTTATGCAGAGAAACTTGTTAATGCATTTGTTACAAGCAGACTTGATTACTGTAGTGCTCTTCTTACTGGGCTCCCTAAAAAAAACCAATACATCCTCTGCAACCCATACAAAATGCAGCCGCACACATCCTAACAAAAAAAAGAGATCATATCAACCTCCACTTTTAGCTGCACTGGCTACCTGTATCTACTAATAGCTCTACTAATAGATTTTGCAGCTCTAAATGACCTTAAAACACCACCTTAAATCACAGAATGTCCATCTTTTTATGTTCCAACACATGATCTTAGATCTGCAGATACTGGCCTTCTGCTAATACTTTCCGTGAAATATCGAGGAGAGGCCTCTTTCAGTTATTATGCTTCAAACTGTCGAACTCAATTCCACCTTTTATTAGAGAATCAAGCTTAGTGTTAAGAAACATTTAAAAATGTATCTCTTTAACTTAGTGTTTAATTAAAATTCTACATCTCATGGTATTTATCTTTTAACTTGATCTGTCTTTGTCTTATATGGTTTTGAATTAATACATATAGTTTCTTCTATTACTGTTAAGCTTTATCACCTGTCTGTAAAGCACTTTGAGCTGCCACTGGCATGAAAAGTGCCCTATAAATGAAGATTATTATTATTGTTACTATTATTAAGATTAATAGCCACTTTTCTATTCATATGGCATTGTGATGCTGCTTACAGTATTTAACATCTGATCTTAGAAAATTCTTTGGACTATCTGACAGTTCATCAGTTCACAGGCGATTAAGCGACGATTCAGATGTATATCAAATGAAAACAACAGCATAAAAACTCAGCAACATTTGCATTTCCTTAAAAAATATTACAAATGATTTCGTTAAATCAACATTGGAATACAGAACACAGGCCTACAGGCCTAAACCTTTAAAAAATAATACAAGCTCATCATGAATTCAAAGCCCTTCCAAAATCATGACCAATGTGTTCAGTTAAAAGAGGGGGAATGCCTGGTATGGCAGCAGTAATCATTGTAAAATTATCACCATTTTACAATGATGAATTTCACCATCATTATAAAATTTTCAAACCATCAATTGATCTCAACCACCCTATGACAGAGTGCAAACCCATTTCTAAAATAGTTCACACATTGTACTGTGTTTATATTAGTGTCTTTGTCTTGTTTTTTATAGCTTTCTCGATTCTTTTTTTACTAGGAAGCGCCATCAGGCCTTTTAAAGCACTACAGCACTACAGAGCTGCTTAAAAACTGATGTGCTATATACAGCTCTGTGCAAAAGTCAAAGACCACCCTTCATTCATTTAATTTCCAATCAAGCAGAAGGCATGAATTAAACAGAGTATTACACAGAAGCCTCAACAACTAAATATCCATTTATTCTTTCTGGGAGACTCGCTTTTAGTCTTTTTTTTTTAATCTCCAGGAAGATTTTTACACACCTCCAAAGTTCAATCTTAGAAGTTGGTGGTGGCTTGTCACAATACAAGTGATCCCAAATGCATTCAGTGATGTTGAGCTCTGAGCACTGGGGTGGCCGGTTCATTGTTCTGTGAACAACAGCAGATACTTTGTTTGATTTCATGTGTTTGTTTGTTTGTTTGTTTATTTCATTTTCATAGTAATGATATTTGACAGCTACACATCCTTTCTTACTCATAGTGTTGAGCCGTCTTCTCACAGTGGAAGGATGGACACAAACACCTGTGGATTTTTTCAGACCTGAAGCAAAAGTGGAAGTTAAGAGTAGCTCAGCCCTAACCCTTGCTCTAAAGTAGCTGTAGTTACTGAAAAATAAGCCTTAGTATATAATAAGCCTGATATTTGAAGGGGTTAAGTATTGTTTATTTGTTGATAACAATTTTGTGGTCTGTGAGGTCACAATTGGTGACATGCTTTTTACTTATTTTTTGTTGATTTTCCTGTGGTTACCTTATTTCTCTAATCTGCTCAGAAATATTTTCTGAAAAAATGTAGAACATGTACTTAATGACCATTTTGACTGGAAATAAAAAAAATTAAAGGCGATCTCTGACATTTGCATGTTGTATGTGCTTATTATCTTGCCTATTATCATAGCTGGTCAGAGTATCACATCACAAGAATATGTGTTATTTCAGGACAAATTAGTTACTGTATTGGAATAGATTTTTTTTTCCCCTCAATATCGACTCCAGCATTTTCTGCTGTGTCAGCCTGACACAGAATACCGATAAGCAGGGTTGGGTCCCAAGTAAACACACAACATTGTCACAACGTTGTCTACTTTCTCACAATGTTGCTACAACGTGGTCAAAAGGTGGTGCTGTTTAAATACAGACATGTATACGGTGTCTGGATGCGGTTGTCACAACCTCATTATTCACTATGTTACAGTTGCATTTTTTAAGAGGTAATCAGTAATCTGTAATGGAACACATTTTTAAAGTCCAGCCCTCAATACCGATATGACATCTCTACAAGATTATCTTAAGCTTTGTTTTACCTTTGATTTAACATTTAAGTTAAAGGACACTTCTGACCTTGAGGAACTCTCACTGCAGGCTGCTGCATCAGAACGTAATTTGAATAGTGTTACCTTTTTTTCAAAATGTGTTCATTTTAAAGATTGTTGTTTTTTTAGTGCAGGCTTAAATGTAAATTGTCAGTGTGATGTTAAAAAGCTTGTATTTCCATTTTGGGCATTTTTACTTTTTTGTACAGTTTGAAGACACCAGGAACCCTTTGCATTGTGTTAAAATTCATGATGAATGGACCAACAGAAATGGTCCAGAATTTCTTGGAAAAAAATAGCTTTACACTCACCTTCATTACAGGTTAAGAGTATTATTTTCCCCCTTACCAGTAAAGTTACCAATTTGAAGATAAAGAGATTTTGTTCCAAGTGCAACGAAATGCTCTGTCTTAATCTCATGGGAGGAAATTCTGCATCCAGTACTGGTAGGATGTGCTTCCGCAGTCAGTCATGTGCTGACATGTTGGAATATCAGGAGCCTCAGTGAGCCTGTTAATGGTCTGAATTTTGTAATGCAAGAGCTCTGTCTGTGATGCAAGACTTGTATTCACCTCTTAGCGTGAGCAGAGCAGTGCCACTCCCTCAAGCCTTTTGTGTTAAGGCTGTGAAACGTCTGGTTGCCTCTGTGATACCATCGCTGCTGTTTCTTCTTCTAAAGAAACTTTCAGTTTCTCGGTTTACCTATTAGGTTCACAGAGAGATACAGCATCTCAGAAAGGGCAGACGTTGAAATTGATTCGCTATTCTTAAAATCATGGCCATGCTCTTCACTGCAGGCTTAATGCTGCGATGAGGAGGCCCCTGTCATGACAGCTTATGTGGAGATGTCTGGGAAATCACCGCCTGCTGGACAACAGCAGGTGTCAAGACGTCACTCTGAAGTACCCAATGAGGATGCGGGCACAGTGAAGATCCTCAAAGTGTGCTTCATTAGCAACAGCTCCAACCTAGGCAAAAACTTTAAGCTTGTAAAATGTGACAGCACATGGGAAATCAGGGTGAGTATTGCTCTGCTTCATATTTCACTGTATTTGACTTTGAATGTTATCTGAAAATGGCTGTACACATATTCAGGTGTTGGAGGTGGTGGGGAATGATAGGGAAAGAGAGGTTGGACAGTTGTTAAGCAGATCGCCAATAGTGAAAACACTCTCCTTTTAAAGGCAAAGTGGGACATAAGAGACGTACTAGCAAAGACAATGTTCCAGCATGTTGGAGGTGTTGAACATTAGTATATGGTTATCAAATCTTCATTACATTAGAGAGAATGGATTACGCTTACTTACTTTGAGCACAGCAGCTGCCCTTTACTTTGTGTGACATTTTCATGATGCTTGGACCAATATAAATGCTTCAAAATGGCTTGAAATAAAAATCTCTTTACATTACCTTACATTGAAAGTACTGATAGTTTTTGCCTTCTCCTGTAAAGTTACCATTTTGAAACACTTGTTTTTCTTTGGGCAGTGACAGTATGTTAGGTGGCTAAAATTATGTGAAAGTTTAATTTAAATATAACATTGTTACTCTGCAGGCCATTATTCAGTCTATCTTGGAAAGTGGACGGCTTGGTCCAAACATCAAGATCCCTGGCTGCTATGGATTGCGGCTAAAACACCTCAAATCAGATGAAGTGCACTGGCTCCACCCTAATCTGACGGTGGGTGAGATGGAGAAGAAGTATGAGCAGCAGCATGTTGAGGCAGAGTGGAGGTATATGTTCTTGGTCTTTCCTAGTACTGTTCCTTTGCTGCTTTTTGCCCATCTTTTTTTCTGAGTTGAGTGTATCCTTTAAAAATGAACAGGTATGACCTGAGAATCCGATATATCCCTGCTGATTTCTTGGAGAAGTTAAAAGAAGACAGAACCACCATGCTCTATTTCTACCAGCAGGTTAGTGTAAGGCCAAAGAAACAATCATCTGCTGTGTAAGAGAAGAGTTTGCATGAGTAAAAATGTATTATTATTGTTTTTTGTTTTTTTTTATTATTTCCATTGGTATCCCACAGGTTCGCAGTGACTACATGCAGCACTGTGCCAGTAAAGTCAGTGATGGGATGGCCTTACAGTTGGGCTGCCTGGAGATCAGGTATCAACATACCGTGTTGTCATTCTACTGCAAAGTGCACTGCATTATTCTTTCCTTTATGCTACAAGTATAATAATGTTTTTTAATGTCACTTGCAATTTTTACATGTCATTCACAAACCCATATCATCCAACAGGAGATTTTATAAAGATATGAATGCCAGCGGATTGGAGAAAAAATCAAATTTCGAATTTTTGGAGTAAGTAATACTGGAAAACACTTGATACCTCTGTCAGTGCTCATATCTCTTAAGCAAAGTAACATGTAAAGACACACATCAAAAAACCAACACAATGAAATCTGGCCATTTTCTTCTTCTCAGGAAAGATGTGGGCCTTGAGTTGTTCTTTCCCCAAGAACTAATCAACAGCATGAAGGTACGCTGTTCTTTTTCTATATGTTTATGAACGTTTCCCCCATGTAAATTAATTGATTTTATTCTGAATACTTCTCTGCATTTGGATTAATTGATTCTTATATAACAATGTCGGTTTTCTTCTGGGCTGCAGCCAAAGCAACTCAGGAAATTGATCCAGCAAACATTCCAGCAGTACTCATCTCTAAAGGAGGACCAGTGCATTATGAAGTTCTTTGAGACTTTCTCAGTCTTCTCCAGTTTTGATGAGGAAGTTTACCCTTGTGAGCTGGTGGTAAGTCCTCATCGTTACTGTTCATTTATTTCTTTACATGTCTATTATTTTAAATGACACCCATGGCCCAGAGACCCCTGAGTTTACCCTTCTGAGCTAACAAGTACACATATGACCAAATGGGAATGATGCAATAGCAGAACCATTTTCGGTTTCCAAAAGCTCTTCATTGGAAAAGTTCTTAATAAGATAAAAATATGTAAATAAGATGTGCATGTTTGAATATAAAATCCCAGGAGTTCCTGCACTTTACCCCCACTGTCCCTGTGGGGCTGCTCTGCTGGTGATGGTGTGCTGCTCCCAGACTGGGTATAGTGAGGCAGCAAAATGATACATGTCTCTTGTAGGAACAATAAAGTTCATAACATCCAAACCCAGAGCCGTTTATAAACCTTTATTTAAGAGTTACTGGCCATGATATTTAAGGTTGTTTTGAATGGTTTGTTTTGCGATCCATTCTGCATAGCAGTGTTAAAATATGCTCTTAGCAAAAATGGTACCAAAAATGAGCACCAAAACGGTTCTTTGACTTTTAACAATAGCAGAACCCCTTTTGGTGCTATATAAAACCATTTTAAAAAAGATTTTTAAAGAACCATTTACAACAGGTTTTCTATCATAGAGAAGAAATGAACTGATTCAAATAATTCAAGTGATCATGGTTCTATATAGAACCACTGTTTTTAGAAAGGAAAGAAACCCTTGAAGAAACATATTTTTAAGGGTATAGCTTATCAGATCATCATTCTTTATTCATAAAAGCATACGTTATAAATGCAGTGTAATTTATTTTCAACTGTGTGCAGCAAGGATGGAGTTTGGCTGTAGACCTTGTAATTGGGCCTAAAGGCATTTGTCAGCGCACTGACAAAAATTCAGTGGTAAGTGTTACATTCAGCTTCATTAATAACCATTCATCTCACCAACTCAGACAGCTCTTTTGGTCTAGTGCAAAGATGCTTGGGTGACTAAGTGTTAAAAACATTAAGATCAACAGAAGTTTTGTTTAGCTCATGTTGATACAATGGAAAAGTTTGCCTTACAGAGCTTTACTTTTCAAAATCACACCTTTACTACACTTCCTGTTATTCACATGTACTGTTGTCTTTATTGCAACTTTATTCCTGTTTCAAATAGTTTAATTTAAAGTGAATTGCATTCTGTTTCACCATTAATGTGCTCCATTAATCAGACACTCTCTACTTTACCATAGCCTGTCTGCCTAGCTGTTTTCTCACAAGTTCAAAGCATCAAATGCTCCCTTCAGAATGATGGAAAGGGTATGTTACATGTGGACATAAAAGGAGCTAAGCAGGTGAGATTAATTATCATAGAGATTGTTACACTTCAGTATTTGATCTCTTAGCCAATGGTGCTTTTGGGCAATTTCCTGGACGGTATTTATTTAGTTCTAGCACAGTTGATGCAAGATTAAATTCAATATTTCAGACACATTGTGACTTTATATTACTTTGGAATCCTAAACAAAGATTTTAAATTTGCATCCAAATGTACATGGTTTATGGATCAGAACACACCCCTGTAGTAGTGAGCACCTGACCCTTATGAAATAATAATTCTGGGTTAATTATGTTAAACCTACAGCCTTTGACAGTCAACACAGCCTCATTAGCAACTGCAGAGAACATGGCGGACTTGATCGATGGTTATTGTCGTTTAGAGAGTGGAAAGGACATCTCTTTGTTGGTGAGACAAAATAAAGGTAAGTTTTTTTAAAAATTGTTTTAGTGTATTTATAGTCCCACTGAACATGGACATAGGTGTACTGAAAAAAGTGATGCACCGAATTTACTTGCCGTGTGGCATAATTATTAGAGCTGGGCCAGAGCTGGTGATGCTGTTTTCTGTTTCTAACATCTGACCGTTGGTCAGGCTACCACATGTACTTGCACTCAAGTATTATGGACTTCCAGATTGTCTTGAGTGGTGTTTTTTCTAACAAAATCAGTCCTACCCTTTGGAATTAATCTGACATTTTAGACCTTTAGTTCAGCTCCTGAAGTTCTAATCAATGGAAGAGATTTGATTACATTAAATTAAAAATTATAGACATGTGTTTTTTATTTCACAGAAAGCCCTGAGCGTTCCCCTCTGTTGATTCAAATATGTGCATCATTTCCTTTTTACCAGTTTACTTTTGATAATAATTGTGTATATATGTGTGTGTGTGTGTGTGTATATATATATATATATATATATATATATATATATATATATATATATATATATATATGCAAATTATGTACACATTTCATTCCAGTTAATGACTTTTTTAGTGTAGCTTTTCTATGGTACACTCTTGCCCTTTCCTGACTAGATAACTGAAACACATGATTTTGACCTTGATTGTGTTCTGTTAATACATGTGCTATGTTGTCACTTCCCATATAAAGAAGCTAGAATTTCTCTACCTCCACTTCCCAAAAGGTGAGAAATCTTACTTCTTGATTTAAAGGCAAAAGTAGTTTATGTGCACCTTTTATGATGCCCATGGTTTATGGGGTTTTGACATATATTTAATTTATGTTTTTAGTAGAAGTAAAGAAGGTACCTCTTCCTGTGGAATGAGTATGTCAGTCTTTTATCTCAATCTGAAAAGTATTTAAATAAAGTCTTTGAATATTTACTGAAGATTGAGGAACACTGATTTCTTACTCTTATAGACTCAGATATCTACGCAGAGATACCAGATGAAAAGCCAGACGCAAGTAAGTGTTAGTTTGGAAAAATCACATAAATCCTCTTTAAACAGTTCAAAAAACCATATCCATCCTTGTTCTACAGCAGACAGGTACAGCATTTCCCGAGATGACATCGTCCTTGGCCGGATCCTGGGCGAAGGCTTCTTTGGAGAGGTGAATGAAGGTGTTTACAAAAGCAAGGTACGTAATTCATGGGCTTGAATCGAGTATATATTTTCACTTTCACTTAAAGGTTATAGTAATAATTAAGTTTCAGTTAAAGGTTATTAAAATGACTGATTATTCATTTCAAAAACATGTACATATACAGTGCTCATCAAAGGTATTAGTCCTGTGCATCAAGGTGCTTATTTTCACACTGACTCCAAAAACAGATACCAGATGGCAGTAACATAATGTAGTTACTGCAGGGTATATTCACAGTGATTTAGTATTATTTTGATCTTTTTTATAAAAAATGAATTTAATATTATTTTACTTTACTCATACATTACAGTGTAAAAGTCAGACACTACCCTTCGTTTCCAGTAATTTAAGTAAAAAACGCTACTAAGTACAAGTTATTCATTTTTCATGATATTTCTGTGGAGATTACATTCACAATAATTCACCTGCATGAGGAAAAGTCAAACTGGAGTTCAGAACATTATAAAAAGAGAAATGAAACTACTATCAACCATGCAAGACTTGGTAGACCACCAATATTGTCACCTTCAAATAAACGTCTCTGAAAGTCTCTATTAAATATGTTTTCTGCTTTTTTTACACTTAAAAGAAATGACTTGTACTTAATTGTACTTAAAAATAATCATAAATGCGAATACTCTATACTGCTGCATCATATTTGTCTTTTCATCTTTAAACTGTTAAATTCTCAGGCTCATTACATTCTAATGCTTATTATTTAGTTATTAAATTGGAAACAATGGTTGAGTTATTTTTTAAGCCAGAGGAGTGAGGAATGGAAGCCTGGACCTGTCTGCAGATCCTGGCCATTTAAGGGAAAGATTTAATCAAAACTGCATAGGTTTACTGAAAAAATAAGTCTGCCTCAATACTTCTGGAGGAGGCTGTAGAATGTTAGAAGACTTGAATGTAACCTGAAATGTCTTTTCAGTGGTCAAAGTAAAACTTGTGGTTTCTTTGAAATAACACTGAATATACTTTTCAGGTTTGCTCCAACTTCTTCTTTACTGAAGCAGCCTGTCACGCATGGCAGAATCCTCCTTGCTGCACAGTAACAGAGAAACTCACACAGGCTCAGTGCAGGGATTTTATGCAAATAGCAAAACTGTCATCAGATTTAAAAGATGCAACTGTGAATGTCAGAGATGTAACGAGTATGAGGATGGCATGAAGATAAATGTCAAATTTGTGTTTGACTATGTTATAGACTAACAATAATTTAACATATTGCCAGCTTTTAAAAAAATGTTTAAAGTAGATTTAGTAATACTGCTCTGATAATACTTTACAAATACAACTCAATGTTTACTATGTGTGCATATTAATTTTGCAGTAAATTAAGTGTACTACTGACATTAAATCAGCATACATGTTCATAATCATGCCCCTTGCACAATCATCAATATGAGAGTGAATTACAAACGTTGTGTTGTAATACAGACAGGGGAAAGAGTGAGTGTTGCAGTGAAGACATGCAAGGACTGCGCAGCTGATGTCAAAGAAAAGTTCATGAGTGAGGCTGGTAAGACCTTTTTCATTCTGCCATTATAAAGATTTCACGCTGTTATAGGTTATAAGTTTTACACTGTTTTATATCAGTAATCATGAAGAAGCTTGACCATCCTCATATTGTGCGACTGATTGGGATTATTGAGAAGGATCCAGTGTGGATTGTAATGGAGCTTTACCAGCATGGAGAGGTGAGAGACCATTAACACTGTTAAAAACTTAGATAAGCTTATTTAAATAATTAACATTTTACTGGAAACTTACTTTTGCAGTACTGTGCAAAAGTCAGAGACCACCCTTCATATATTTAATTTCCAGTCAAAACAAGTGCTAAGTGCTAACAAACTGCTAAGTGCGAGTTTTTGTTTTCAGTTGCAGGAAAAATTTTTCCACACCTGCAAAGTTCAGTCAAAATTCAGTAGAAGTTGGTTGCGCTTTGTGCTTTTCATGATCAAAGTAATCCCAAACACATTTGGTGATGTTGAGGTCTCTGGGGTGGTCAGTCCATTGTTCTGAGAACTCCAGCAGCTTCTTTGTTTGATTCGTGAATGTTCTTCTTCACCCATTTCCTTTTCTCAGTAGCGGCTTCTTGACAGCTACACATCTTTTCAGACTGATAGTGTTGAGTTGTCTACTCACAGTGGAAGGATGAACAGAGACACCTGTGGATTTTTCAGATCTGAAACAAGAGTGGAGCTTGATTTTCTCCTCTCTGTCAAAGATGAAAGCTTTAAGTACTGTTTATCTGAAGGTGACAATTTTGGTGGTCTACCAGGTCTTGCACAGATGTTATGAGTCCCATTTTCTCTACATCTTTTAACTTTATCTTTTAATTTTTCATTTCATTTCACTTTTCATTATGCATGTAAAATATCTCATATGTAATCTCCTCAGAAATATCTTGTACTTAATGGTTGTTGTGGCTGGAAAGGAAATTGTTGAAGATTGGTCTCTGACATTTGCACAATACTTTATAATAATGTTATAGTGTTATAACGACCAAACCATCTCATGTTTCAGAATGAAACATTTGCTTGTGACTCATTTAGGCACCTGTTTATGACTCATTTAGGTACTTCTCCTAACTCAACTTTTTCCTACATGTTTTCTGTAGCTAGGACATTACCTGATCGAGAACCAGCACAAACTGACCAATGTTACGCTCATCCTGTACAGCCTACAGATCTGCAAAGCCCTTGCTTATCTGGAGGGTGTGAATATGGTACACAGGTAAGAAGTGATAACTTGCATGCACTACTTAAATGGATCTGTATGCAGCAGATTTGCAGATAAGGCAGATTTGCATTGAAAAATATTTCTGAAGTGTTTTTTCCATCCAGTGCAGCGGATATGTGTCCAAATTTCATAACGAATAATAAATAGCTTTTAAATACACTATATTGTGTACAGGTATTATATATATATATATATAATATATATATATAGGCAGTTAGAACATAGGTCATTTGCTCTCCATCTGAAGTTTTCAGACCCTGTTAGATGGTTACTGACATGGGTTGTGTTGTGGCTTTCTTGTATGCATGTGTTGTGTGGTAGACAAATGCTAAAATAAAGAAAAAACCTTTTTTGGCCTCCTTTTTGTGGGTCAGTCTGAGGAAGTATGACTGGAAAGTTTAGTTTTGTGGGTCTGTTAATTTTGACAATCAAACATGCAATCTTCTTTTATGGTCGTTTCAGCCCAGTGTTAGTGTGACTGGTTGAAGCTAGGCAGCCAACCCTACAGTGTTAAAGAGAATTTGGAATCAAAATGGATTAGTTTGTTAGTTTGTGTGCCGGATCATACAAAGCACGGTTCATTATATTACATAATTTAAAAAATAAACTTCTTGTTTTCTCTTTCATCAAAGTATCATGACGTTCACCTACCCCTAAACGTCTGACGTCAGTGTGGAAGTAGAGGCCAAGCTTCTCAGCATGCCATGCTGTTTGTTAGTTTCTGCTAGTTGGGTTTTATTTGCATTTTACATGTATAGTTATTCCAACGATGTTTTTTGTGTTTTAGCTAACTAGTTTATTCTGTAATGTTGTAATAAAGCATTTTTTATTGCCAGCTCTGCAGTCTACATAAAGAGTGGTATTACTGCATATAACTACTCCAAGTCCTCCCTAAATAGTGATTTTCCATTTCAGAACTAACTGACATTTTGCAGCAGTAAACTCCAGTGCAGAGAGCTAATAATATATATATATATATATGAATATTTTTTCACCTTTTTTGAGTAAACCTTGTACACAGCAAGTACACAGTATAGGTCACAATATAATCTGGCCTTGGGTTTGACTGTTATGCATATAAAATCTTTTATATGTTGTTTAAGGCTAACATAAGTTACATTCTACATTTACAGTAATAAAACCGTAACTTGTGTTTTAATGGACATTTACTGTCGTATGCAAAATTTTGAGCACCTTGGTCAGATTGCATGTTGTGTTAATTTTCTAAGTGAAAATAAGTTAACACATCCTCCACAGTGAACACATTTCTGCAGATGTTCACAATTACTGTTTAAGTGCTGAATTTAACATTACAAGACAAAAAAATGACACATTTTATATTTAGTTTTATTTTTCCAATATGTTAAATTCAGCAAATAAAAGAAAAGTGCAGGAAACATACTTTTGCGTGCAACTGCGAAGAGACTTTCAAAGCCTGTCAGGCTATGAACAGATGCCTATGAACAGTATCTGCGGAACAAAAGCTTCTTCTATTTTTGTGGTTTCAGAGATATTGCCGTAAGAAATGTGTTGGTTGCTAAACCAGACTGTGTGAAGCTGGGTGACTTCGGCTTATCCAGATACATAGAAGAGGAAGAATACTACAAAGGCAAGTTATAAAAATGCTTTTGCACAGTTCACTGCGGTCATATTGTACACTTTATTAGATTAGAATCTGAAATTGAGAACAGTTCATCTTTCCTAAGGTAAAAATACATTGTGATTCACTTATTTCTCATGCTCACCTGAAATTGTGACTCACCAAATAAAAAATGTTTGTTCTCATTTTGAAGCCTCCGTGAGTCGATTGCCTATCAAATGGATGGCTCCTGAGTCCATCAATTTCAGACGATTTACCTCAGCTAGTGATGTCTGGATGTTTGGTTAGTACTTCAGCTGTAAACATTGTAATGTAACACTAAACTGAGATTGGTATCATATTTGAGATTTATTGACCCGTTCGGTTAAATTAGGTTTCCTTCACTGACTGATGGGTTTTTCTCAGAGAAACCATGAGTGTGAAGAGATTATGAAACATTGTTTTGTATGATGTTATGTAGTGGCTAAGCCAAATTTAAAAGCATTTGGTGAGGTGTTATTGTGGGTCTCTTTTATGATCAGCCGTGTGTATGTGGGAGATCATGAGTTGGGGTCAGCAGCCTTTCTTCTGGCTGGAAAACAAGGATGTCATCAACCAGCTGGAGCAGGGTGTGCGGCTGCCTAAACCTGAGCTGTGTCCTCCCACTCTTTACTCACTCATGACCCGCTGTTGGACCTACGACCCCAGTGAGAGACCCCGCTTCACCACACTAGTGTGCAATCTGAGGTACGCCTTAGTATCTTCACCAGGCTACACTGAGAAAAGGAATGTGTTGATTTTACTTGATTTAACTGTGTACATCTTTTTCAGATGAATAACTATGTTACATGAACTTAAGTATAGCCAAAGCAAATACACTGAAAGATATTTTGTTGATGTAATATATTTTATTCATGTGCAAATGATGTATACCAGTCAGTGCAGTGAATGTTGCCATGACAAGCATAGACGCTCATTAATCTGTGTGTTTGGCAGCGATGTTCACAAAATAGAACAGGAGCAGGAAGTGGAGCAGCAGAGGGACAGAGCCCGTACTATAAGGACATCTTTCGCTGAGCCTCCACCCAAAGTACTTTTCTCCGTTTTTGTTCCTCTGTGACTCTGCTCGTCCTCTCAGCTACTTCTGTTCAGAGGAAAGGGCACGGTTAACCCTTCTGGTTTTTCTGCTCTTGTTTTCAACATAGCCATCAAGACAGAGACAGTTACCCACAAATTTGAACACTATTGGCCCAGGGTTACAGATTCAGGTATACTACTTTGTTGTTTATTCTCTTCGCTTCTACTTGATAATACTTTATTTTATATGAGCAGCAATTATACTTAGGATATTAAAGTAGACTCCCACAATAATGCATATTCATGATTTCTGTCTGAAATGGCTTAAACGAGTGATTTTTCAGTTGAGGGAACCATTATGTAGACCACATGTGTCAGGCTCCAGTCCTTGTGGGCCAAAACACTACAGACTTTATTCATTCCAGAAACACTAACATTATAATAATAATAATGATAAACACATAAAAAAATCCATTCTGATTTAATGTGTGTAAGCTAAACCATTTTCTAAATCTCTCCTGGATGAAGTCTAGTATGTACAGTCACTATCCAATACCTATTTCATTTAATCAGTTCTTCATTAAATTATATCAGATGCTGCAGTGAGATGTCAGGAAACATACCTGTGTTCTTCTAACTGTATTTATCTAATGTACATAATAAACAAATCAAATACATTCTAGAGCATGGAGCGGCATGCCTTGAGAGCATCAACTCGTTCGAGACATAACAATACCAAATAAACATGCACATTACATTGTAATTTTTTATTAACTCAAAGTATTTTTATGTGGTGGGGAGTTGTATGAAATTTACTTTAATATTAGCATTCAGTATTAGCATGTACTTTGAATAGCATATTTTAAATAGCCAACGTTCTTGGCTTCTTTGCTTTTTTTCTTTATTTTGCAGAACTATAGTACAAAAGCAGTAGAACACTTGAGGTTGCATGTTATCATGTGTTATTTGCGACAACACACTCCTTCTCGAGTTCGACTGCTGAAATAGCAGTCATTAATATGACATTCAAAACTTAAATGGTAGTGTATGCAGACTTGGTTAGTAAACATTGTTACCAACTGAATTCAAAATGTTTATGGCAGTTAAACTATACTAAAACTAAAACACTGCAGCAAAAAATCTATTTAGAAATAATCCTAATAGCTACAAATATGTTTGTGACATTCATCTTACACTGTACGGGTCACTCTATCAGCATTTCCTGTGTGGTTTATGTCTGTTGAGCACCACAGTGCGTCTTTATGCAGTCTATGCGTATGTGTCTGTGCATGCATGCATGTATGTGTTCAGTGTGTTCACACCACAGAAACAGTAGATAGAATTGAATTCAACCTCTATATACAGCTGTTTGCAAAAGTTTTGGCACCCCTGGTTATGTTACATGTTTTGTTGATTTTCTAAGTGAAAATAAGTTACATCCTCTAGAGAGAACACACCTCTGCACCTTTTTAATGCACAGCTACTGTTTATTTGCAGAATATAACACATTGGGGAAAGAAATAAAATACAAAATGTCTTTCCAATATGCTAAACTCAGCAATAAATTTGAAAGTGTGCGCAAAAAATGGCAGAACAATGCAAAATTTAAGTTTGTTCCCTGTAGAGGATGTGTTAAAACATGTAGTTTGACGGGTGGGTGTTTAAACTTTTGCCCACGACTGTAATTAAATTAATATGTGTTAAACAAGTCCAGTGAATCTGAAAACTTGATGAAATGAATTGTTCATGAATGTGTGTTACTTGAGTGTAAATGCTGACAGCATCTCCTTCTGTGTGTGTGGTCTGTTTGTGGTGTGGTTTGGTTTGTTTGCGTGTTTATGCTTCTGCTGTCAACTCTTCAGCTGCCCCCGTATCTCTGTGCTAGTACACCTGCCCTTGCTAGGCCACCAGGTTTCCAATCAACTCCTATCTCCAGTGGCACACTGACCCTGCCTCTGTCCCCGAGACGCGGCAGCATGGGGGTAAGAGTCATGTCTGTCTACACAGCAAAACGACAGCTTGAGTGTATGAGCACAGACCCACTGTGTATTTCCCTCACACAAAACTTTTTGAGCGAAAAATGAAAAGTTTTGTCTGAGCGAAGTGTCACTTTCAAGCTGGCTTCACTTTGTGCAAGTGTTTTTGCCAATGGTTTTCAGTAGTCTACTTTTCTTATTTCTTCTCTTCATCAAATGCAAATCAAAGACTTCTGCCAGCTTTAATGCATGCTTCAGGTGAAACCCGCTCCCGTTTGTGCTTTAATGGTGTTACAGTACATGTCCACATGTCTTTGCTTTTTAACAAGGAAAGGGACCGTGTGGTTGAGCCAGCCAGTAAAGAGGATGCTCAGCGGCTATGGGAGCTGGAAAGACTGTCCATTCAGGACACTCTGAGGAAGCAGAAAATGGAGATGATGGAGGACAACCAGTGGCTGGAGAAAGAGGAGAAACTGCTGGTGAGTCACTGACTGAAACAACACTGTAGAGTCTGCTGTAGTGCATTCCCCTGCTAAACACAAGGCAGATCAGTACAAGTGGGTCTGTACAGTTGATACAGACTGCTGAAGTGGAGCGTCCATGTCCATTTTTTCATTAATACCATCTAATCACGATGTCAGAAAGAATTCATTGAGATTTCTGACGTTTCTCTTAGGATCCAATGGTTCCAGAAGATGCAAAACTAAAAACGGTAATGTATTAGCATTGCTCAGCTATTGTTTCAAATTCGTAATCACAAAAATGACGGATGGTCAAATTGGTCATTGCCGATTTCCTTTATTGCCTTTTTTCTCTTCATGCATTTGTTTTAGGTGTCTGAACAGGAGACAGGCTATGGTAAGTTTGTACACACCTTTGTAGTGTGATAGAAGACCTACAGGACTGAGAAAATCAGAGACCACCTTTTATGTATTTCATTTTCAATCAAAATAGCCAATAGGTAAAAGTTAGTCCTGTCAAAAGCAGGAAACCTATCATCTCTGTCCAAAACAACAAAATGTATAACCCTTTTTGTCGGATTTCGGAGATATATACATTACGCAAAAAGTATAGTATATGCTAGAAGTGTAATTATAAATTCTATCAGTATTTAATTTGTCCACTCTTTACTTTTGTGCACTCGACTGCTGCTTCAATTCTTCCATCATTCCAAACAGTATCATTGCTCATCACCACACCACAGCACATGTACACAGCTACAATTAAAGTTCGGGTTGTCTGTGTAGTTGCTGTGATATTAGTTTAAATACATATTTCAGCATCATGTAGTAATTTAACTATTTCCAAAATCAGTTAATGATGAGTTAACTTCATCTGTTGAGAATCTTCCCTAACACTGCTGAATTTCTATTCCACCTGGACTCACAGCGTATCTCTCTCTCTCTCTCACAGCTCAGTTTCGAGCTCCCCCGGAGAAGCCTCCCAGAGTGACCGCGCAGGTAATTGCACTGTTAATCCAGCTAGCAGGGTGGACGGCAGCATCGCCTGCTGAGCCCTTTGAAGCTCTCCTTTGAAAGTTTCCGAAGGGGCAGCTGGCAACAATCAAAGCAGCAGGGTTTTACATGAAGCTCTGTAACAACCGCTTGGTGAGCCTGAAGCTACAAGCCTGCTTCTTGGCAACGGGAATGCATAGGGAGTCTATATAGTGTGTTTACTAGCAAACTTCAGGTTGAGTTATGTGTCTTCCTTGCTTGTGCTGATGACCGAAAGGCTTTTGCTTTGTGCGTCCTTGTACTGAAGCTGACCCTTTCAAGCCTTTTCACATGCACTAACTCTGAGTCTTCATGCATTTAATAGCCAGCTCCCACAGCAGAACTGGACCGCTCAGAGGATCAGGTTTACCACAATGTGATGGAGATGGTAAAAGTGGTGGTGCAGCTCAAGAATGATGTCAACACACTGCCACCCTCTGAGTATGTTGGTGTGGTGAAGGTAAGAACATTTTGCTTTGCAAAAACACAAATGGCTTGTAGGACTGACGTTCAATGGGGTGTTACAACAGATTGTAATGGGAAGTTTTAAAATATCCTGTTGAAATAATGTTGGTGACCCAGCAGACTGCTGCTTGACGTAACTATTTCTCTTTCTGCCTCCAGGCGGTGGGACTGACTTTGCGTAATCTAATCCACAGCGTAGATGAAGTGCTCCCAAGCCTGCACGAGTCAATCAGGACCGAGGTAACACATAACTCTGAAGCAATGGTTTGCCCAAAATCAGATTTACTCTTTTTTTCCCTTATTACAGATGGACACACTTTTAAAAAAAATGAAAAAGCGATGCTACAGCAGAACCACTTTAGGTTCACTAAAGAAAACCATCCTGCTCAGTGGATGGTTTTTCAAAGAACCGTTTTAGATGTGTGAGTGTAAAAAAACTTTTAAAGTTGAACCCCTTTTGAACTATTTTATTAATTTATTGATTTATATATTTGATTGTTTTAATAAAATTATCAGACGAGTCGATTTACATTACATGGACAGAACCGTCACTTGGAGGCCTGCTGAAAGAGGTTGAAGAACGCCATAATGCATAGGTCCTCTACTAATTAAAGGTTTTTACTAGAACCATACATCCAGACAAAGAACCTTATTTAACTTAAAGACACGAACCTTATTTAACTTTTATTTTTAAAGTCAGCATGAATTAAAAATCATAGCTGTACTAATAATATATTTCTGAATGAAACATTGTATCAGGGTCTCAGCTAGCTGAGCGTTTCTCAATGCTAGGAGGCGTGAGGGGGAGGTGAAATATGATATTATTAGTTATATTGTTTTCCTGCCTGATGATGTAATTAAAAATCAGATGTTTTTGAGGTATGCACTATGTTTGAACAAACGTTATAAAAGAATTTTGTATTTGTAATGGTGTGTTATGACAAATCATGCTTAATATGGCAGGGACATTAACTAACAAGGTTAAAAAGATCATTTTGATTTCAGGTTTACTTTTAAAGTGAGTTAGCCAATATATGTTTGTCTGAAATTTGCTTTTTTAGTTTGCACTGGAGCTATGAGGCTAATGCAGCTAAGCTGTATGTGATGGAAGTTTACAGCAACAGTTAGCATTATGCAAACTGCATGCTGAAAGTATCACACACTTGCCTCAAACCACGCCATGTTATGTAATCACAAATAGCTTATATGGTTTCTGACACCGTATGACATACTGTTAGCTATAAACATGGCCAAGAGAAAGTTTAGAATGTTTTACTAATAACTGCAGCAGCAGCCATCTTGAAACCTCAATTTGCTCTGTGCATCTTGTCCATTTTTAAACGGCATGGTATAGACCACCTAACCAAAAAATTACTAGACACGGTATGAGGCGAGCATGATGATTTAGGCATGAAGTTCATACAGTGCTAACTATCCGCTTCCATTACTGCTTAGCTACGTTAGCCTGATAGCTCCAGTACAAAACTAAAGAAGCAAATCAAACACAAAAACGTCTTCTCTGATGGACTGCATTTGTGGTAAGGGGAAAACTGTGTTAATTTACCATTTATTTGAATTAGGTTTTCAAAAGAAAAGATCTGTTTGCTGAGTATACTTAACTGATACATAAATTCATTGTTTAATTCAATGACATTCATAAAAATCAATGAACACTCATCAATTTACTTTGCTCTCCCTTTGTTGCTATTTTAGATTGAAGGCACTCAGAAGCTGTTGAATAAGGACATGGCAGAGTTGATCAGCAAGATGCGGCTGGCCCAGCAAAACGCCATCACCTCTTTGAAAGATGAGTGCAAGAAGCAGATGCTGACAGCAGCTCACACTTTGGCCATGGACTCTAAGAACCTTCTGGATGCTGTGGACCAGGCCCGCGTTCGAGCCAATGTGGCAAAACCTAAACCTGCTTCTCCAGCAGAGTAGTAGAGCCACATATGCCAGAGATCTGGAACAGGGGCTGTAGATTGGCCTTTTTTGAATTGTTCTTGCTAGATAACAAAGAGAAGCTTTTAGTTTGTGGAATAGTGTCTTTTATGATGCATAGGTACAACCTTATTTATGTTTATGTTTACTGATAGAAAGCTGTGCTTTCTTTACAGAATGTTTTATATATTGCCTTTTTAATTTTTATTTGCAAACACAGACAACTGCTTGTAGGCATTTCAAAAGTTTTTATCATCTGAACTGAGACTGTGATCTTTTTGTCTTCTATCACATTTCAAAAAGACACGTCATCTCCGTTGGCAAACGTAAAGACAGATTTACAGAAAAGTGTAGCATTTCTGTTCTGCAGTTTTATAGTTGTTAGAGGACAGTATGATTGATTTTTCTCAAAAAGAAAATCCTTCCATCTTCAAATGTCAGTGTTGTTTATGTCTCTGTAATTATAAGTCTGGTGTATTTGTATTGTATTTTTTATGTAATGCCCTGGCGGTTAAGCTGTGATTCATATCACACAGCAAATCATTTTGAAATGATTCTGACCCTTGACAAATCCCTGATGGAAGCAGAGCACATGCACTCAACTTCAACTATTTAGACAAACATCATTGCAGCACTGATAACCAGCATGGGCAGTGTTACACAACACCTAGAGTCAATTCAGATATCTCTCCATCAGAGAATGGTCTGTTACTGTGCTGTGCGATGTTACAATAGAATTGTCAATATATAAGTTCAAACTTTTGGAGTCATTAGTGCCTATGCTCAGAAAACAGGTATTGTCCAGGTGAGTTTTAGAGCCTGAAGGTAAAAACAGTATAAAGGTACCCTCAAAGGTACAACAGAAACAAGAAAGGGTCACATTTTTATCATGACTTTTTAAGTACAAAAATAAAATAAAAAGCATGTTAGTTCAGATAGGGTGTGTGGAGTCAATGCAACATAAAGCAACACTAAGATTTTTTTTATCAAAACTGAAAATTAATATAATATTCCAAAAAAGAACAAAAAACGCTAAAATATGGCATCCATGCATTGCTGCATGCCACCCTGTAAAGCCTGAAATAATTACAAGTCAGAGGTGTTGAGTCAGATTTCGTAGGAGTTTTTCAGACCATGTCATACGTCTGTACATATCAGGCTCGAAAAGGTTTAGGTCTCAAATGCAAAATCAACATTCTAGTCATGAAAATATGATGACAACAGTAGATAATTCACTTATTTTCTTGGAACACACATTCTCCAAGTTTTGACTGAGTTTTCTTTGAATACTCTTTTACACGCTCATAATCACCAGATTCATCCACTCGGGGAAGGAGTCCGAAGCGTAACCGATGTTACAAAATGTTCCTCCACATGTTGCGTTCAATTATACATTTCCATCACAGAGGTCGCTAAAACCCCAAATTGTACGTAGTGTAGTGTACTGGAAATATAACTGCAACTGAATTTTATGTTCCCTTTTTTATGTTCAACGATTCTGTTCGCTAACTAAAGGTACTGAAAAACTCGAGGATGAGAAGTACTTACCTGAAAGCTAAGGTTATTTTCATTTTTCTGAGCATATAGCACAATAGAAGATGACTGGCTGGAAAAAATCTGAAATGATTAATCACTGTAATTAAACATCACATAGGTTATATATTGCTAATATATTGCTAAATTACAGTAGCAACCATTGCACGATTTAGCCTTGGTGTGGAATCACTTACGGTCATGGTTATCTAAGCAGTGCACTAAAAGAATGATAAAAAAGAACGACTGTACATCTGTTCCATTTATTTTAAGAGAGAACATTTTCTCTGGAGTGAGGGAACACTGTTCATGATTGCAACTTAATTACACAACCCACATAATATCTTAAGCTTTGCTTCTTCAGTGGCTCTTCAAAACTGCACCCATGATAGAAGGAGGACTTTTGACCTGCCGGGTAATTGCTGCTGAGAGTAAAAATGCATCTCTGACTCATTTAATGGTAGGATACAGTGTAAATTGAACTGAACTGGTCCCAGTCAGGGTCACATATCCTTTGCCTCTTTCGTAAAGGTTAATTTTGCATATTACGTTGGTGGGGGCTGACTTTATATGCATGTGGAAGTGAATGGGCTTGGATGGCAGCATGATAGCAGGAAATGTCAGTGCATTCGGTAAGAGGTGAGAAGTGTTTCTCACACAGGACTGATGGGAGACGTCACGGCTGAGAAGATCTGAACTATTGTAACAATTAACTGTGACCCCAGGTAATCCCTGAGTGAACTGATATGCTCTAACCCACGCGCATTACATCACTGACACTGTACCCAGGGAACTTCAGTGCAGAAAAGGTCTGCACAGCAAGGCTGATATTAAAATTCATAGCGATTTAACCCCGTAAAGGTAACACCCCATTCCAAAAGCACTAAGACCCCTCTTCTTCCCTTTAAAATTATAATTGCCTGTTGGTTTCTCTAGGGGAGGTCTTGGCTCCATCATACAGGTTGAACGTTGCTCTGGAGCTTGATGTCTGTATCTGTAAGCCCAGGGCAAACAGCTAGATCATCCCTGAGAGCCAGGGAGGCAGGAAGAGGCCAACTGTCCCCAGCAGGCATACAATGACGAACATCCACAGGAAGATACGGTCAATTACCATTGCAACATACTTCCAGTCCTCCTTGACCTATGACAGAACAAAAGCAGAAACCTCATTTGGTAACATAACACAGCCCACAAATAAAGGAACGGCTTCTGGAGAAGAATCTGCAATATTAAGCATTAAAGAATTTCAATTACAGTGGCTCCCAAATGTTTGGACACTTTAATCATTGGCAAACTGTAATGAAGTTCTTCAGGTTTGTTCATAAAATGTTTAACAAAATGATTTTTGTTCCAGAGAAAAACACTTTTGATGGTAGACTATTTATGTGGAGAAAGCCTGGAGAAGGTTTCCAACCAGACTGCACTAAAGCTCCTGCAGAGTAGGTGGAAACAACAAAATCTGGGGTTGTTTTTCTGACAGTGGTGTTGGTAAGCTTGTGTTCACTGATGGGATCATGGATTTAGAAGTGTACAAATGCATTCTGGATACAAATGTGCAGAAGTCTGCAAAGAAAAGAAAGTCTCGGAGTAGTGTGTTTAAAATAAATGCTTCTTGGTTTTAAATTTTATATTTTGCTTGCTAAAACAATGAACTTTCTCAAACACAGCACAGATAATTATATTCTTTTTTAGGGCCACTGTATGTCACTTATTGAAAGTCGTTTCCAAAGCTACTGCTTTTTATGAGTTATAAATACTAAGAAGTGGCAAATGCTCAACATCTATAATACCCTAGCACAGCCTAGCAATGCCATAAATGACAGATAAAGGGGTTCCATACAGTTTTACAGTTTAAAAGAGACATGGGCTAAAAATCACAACAAAAAAAGGACCTGCTACAAGCAAGCATGTACTATGATTGGTTTGAATTTGAACATCATAGTACATAATAGACACTGAAAGTCAGAGACCTTTGGGGTTCTAACTCCATTACTCCCTTTCTTGATAGAGAAAGAAAATCTTTCAAGTCCTTAAAAAGTGTTTGAAAACTTTTTTGGCCCTGTGTGATCTAAATGTTTGCTTTTTTTTGGAAAATAATTCTCAGTCCCAGTCCTGAGAACCCCATGCACACATTCTTGTGTTTCTACCAGCACATCTCCTGAAGGGATGATAATTACGCAGTGAGCTGAATTACGTGTGCTACAGCAGGGAAGCAAAAATGCATGAATTTGGAACTAAGAACCTCCTCACTTAGGAGATTACCTGCAATAAATCGTTCATTAGATGCAATGATAGAAACTAACATTTAAGATTCACTCACTGAGAAATCTGCATCTTCTGCGCGCAGGTGATCAGCGATGTACTGAACCCCCTCCAGAGCCTGCAGGACACTATGAGAGAAGGGCAGTGCGGGCTCTGGTTCCAAATTGCTGAGCTTGACCGACCGTGAATTGAGGTTCATCCTGTGTCCTAGCTGCTGCAGGTCATACTTCTGAAGCAAGGGCTCAGAGTCAGACAGGTGTAGAGATGAAGCAGTAGGGAAGGAAAAAGAGGATGGAATTCCCATTCCTGCTCTACCGTTCTTATCCTGATATCTCCCAACGTCCACATCTGTCTCTTGCTGCTGCCAGCTCTTCGAGGTGCTGAGGTTAGACGTCTGGTTTGGACTGTGCTTTTTCCCCTGTGGGTTCAGCAGCCGCCGGCGTACCTGATCAGGTGCTGGACGCTTCATGAAGAGCCAACGGGGTATAAAGCCCAGGAATATGGACTGAACCCAGCGTGGCATCTTGTGGGTACTTGGGGAGCGATGGTGGACGTTTAACACAAAGACGGTGATGACGATGGAGAGGGTGACGAAGATCATGGTGAAGAGCAGATACTCACCAATGAGTGGAATGACCAATGAGGTGGAAGGGATGATCTCGGTGATGAGCAGGAGGAAGACGGTTAAAGAAAGGAGGACGGAAATGCACAACGTGATCTTCTCACCGCAGTCTGAGGGCAGGTAGAAGACCAGCACGGTCAGGCAGGAGATGAGCAGGCAGGGGATGATGAGGTTGATGGTGTAGAAGAGAGGAAGACGGCGGATGATGAAGAAGTAGGTGATGTCTGGGTAGATCTCATGGCAGCAGTCGTATTTTTTCGTGTTGTATGTGCCCACGGCATTAACAATGGCCCACTCCCCACTCTCCCAGTAGTCCTTCAGGTCCACAGTGTTCTCGATGCGCTCCAGATCAATTTTGGCTTTGTCGTATGTCCAGGAGCCAAATTTCATCTTGCAGTTTTGCTGATCAAAAGGGAAGAATGTGACATCGATGCTGCAGGAGCTCTTGTAGATGGCTGGAGGCACCCAGCGCACCTTCCCCTGTGTGGAACAGGTGGGCTTTGGTCATGTGGGTCACAGCGAACTCACCATCAGCACTGGGAGAGGAAATCACATTAGAGGAAATCAGCGGTGAAGTGCCCACGGTAACACTGTACCTCCAATTAAACAATTACTGGTTTTCTGTATCCTAGATTTGAAAACCACAAAGACATTCATGCACCATGAAATCCAAAAATATCACTAAGCAAATTAGGCAATTCACTTAAAAAAAAAAATTCTATTACAAAATGAATAAAATATAGGCTCTTTGATCTGGTGTTGCCCCAAGCAAGATATGCTGCAGTTGTTGCTATTATTATTTCTAACGTGTACAAAAAAGATTCCCATTTTGCTTCAGGAATCTGACGTAAGAGGACATCAATTTTTCCTTTGTTAATACCAGAGCAGATATTCTTCATAGATAAACGCAGCGGTTCCTCAAATAGACATGTCATTTAATGTTTCATTAGGAGCTTGAAATGTGCATAGTTGTTTTAATAACTACAAAAGTGCTTAACATCTTATTTCACGGCATGTCTGTTTGATTTCACATATTAATGTTCAACAAAGGCACCAGATGACAAAACAGATATGAGTTTTGATATGATATCTACTCCCCGGCCCTTAGCAATTAGACCAATTATGAAACGACTCTCACTCTACCACTATCATTCATCATTTTATCTGCATTAAATATAGGGTTGGTAACTGTGTGACGCATGTTACTGAAATATCTACCAAAAAAATTTAACTTTAATTTCTCCCAGAACGTCAGTGCTTCCTGGCAAAATCATTTTACCAAGATATGTCACACATTTCATTTTTGCAGCACTTTTGGAAGGTAAAAATAACACTCACTTATTATACAGGACAATGTCAGGTACCCAGATCAACTCTGATGGCACTCTAATGGATGTTACATTGTCAAAATCAGAGGGCTTCCAGCGTAATTTATAGTCATTCCATTCCTGCAGGGGTTAATGACAAAGAGAGTTACACTTATAGGTGTGAATTAGTATAATAACATCATATTGGCAATATTTACATACATACACACAAAGTCTATCAGTTTTATTAACTCTATTTAAAAAAAGCAAACATTAGTTTCGCCTTTGAGTCTATTAGTATGCTATGATCACAATCATTTTAAGGGTTACTGGTTTCATTATAAGGTTTGTTTATTTTACAGCTGGGGACAGCGGTGCACAAATTAACACAAGGTAAAATGTCACATGGATATTGTGTTAGTTGTAATGATTGATAAAAAGTATTAATCTTGCTGAAATACTTGTGTTAGGTTGTTCCCAGCTCTCCCATGTATATTATATTTGTAGTTTCAAAAGTATGTTTGCAAAATTTCACAATATGATATAGTGTGGTCATGCATGAGATGCACCACCTGCTTCAGCCATACATTAGTTGTCATCATCTGATTTTTCTCATCCTGCCAGGAAACAAGAGAAGACAGCTTAAATCAGCCAAGTACTTAATTACATCCGGACAAAGACAGGTTCATTAAGGGCGGTCAGAGAAGCGCAGGCCTAAAAAACTGACACATAGAAGGATCTAAGATGTTTCAGAGGATATTTGGATTAGGACCACTGGTTTTCATCTGCTTAGGTGCATAACAGTACAAAATGATATGCCTTGAGTGTGCGTGTGTGTGGGGGGGGCAGATGTTGTACCAGTTGAATTGCTCTACAGCAATACTACAGATAAGATGATCAGGTTGAATTTTAGGTTTACAAATATTGTAATTCTTTAAAAGTTACATTTATAACAGCAAAGAAATGACCATTTATACCAAAACAACATACCACGTCAATCAGCTGGGCAATTGAGAGGCCAAACTTGACAATTACGACATCAGTAATATTACGCACAGGCCTGGACCACTTATTATAACCACTGAAGAGTTTTTTAAACAGCTGGTCTTCAGCATGGGCATGGGTCCAATCACCTGAAAAAAATATAATAATTTAATTAGTATTAACACTAGTAAAAATGCTTGTTTAGAGTAATGTGATAGAATAGCCATTTTTGGTTAAGGAGACTTTTAGTGAATGAACCATTTAAAGAACCATTTTTGTAAAAGATTTTGTAAATGATGTGTGAGTTGAAGACTCATTATAAAGGTTAAAGATCCTCATCATACCTTCCTTAAAAAGGTGCTAAAACATTCTTTCATTGATGCCACAGAAGAACCACTTTCATTCACATACATGCCTAAAAAGATGGTTCTTCATCTTCAAGAGTTCTTTAGTAAAGACAATGGTTCTATATAGAACCATGAACACTCAAAGAACCATCTGCATGCTTAGAAGGTTCTTCGCATGGTGACATAGGTCTTCAGATTGATGGAGAATTTGTTATACACTGTTCTATATACAGCATTCTTGAAAATGGTTCTATATAGCACCACAGTAGGTTCTGCTATTGTTATGATGTCAAGCTTGTTACAACAGAAACATCCTTTTGGTGCTACATAGAACCATTTTCAAAATTCTCTATCAATCTGTATTGGTTCTTTGAGTGTTCATGGTTATAAAAGAAACATTGTCTTTACTAAACAGTCCTCCTTGTAAAGAGTGTAATGTAAAGGTTCTATATCAATGTAAGGGTTCTTCATGGAACCTTTACATTATGTGGAGGTTATTTGAACTTAAAAAAAAAAAAAGATTCTTTCGACTCACATCTCATTTACAAATATGGTTCGTAAAAGATCCATCCATTGAATCCATTGAAAGGTACTTTTGAGAACCAAGTAACATCACCAAGTATATATTAAAGATCTTCAAAGAACTGCTAGTCCAAGCCAAAAACTGTTAGGAATCTTTATTTGTAAGAATGTAATTAAGAGTAATTACTAGCATAATTCAGTTATTAAGAGTGCAAATTATGAGTTTCTGTCGAAAAACAAACAAACAAACATTTTTTTAACCATAACTTTACAAATACTTAGGCATATTCATGCCAATGAAATATGGTCTCTGCCATTTAATGTTTGGTATAAAACAGGTCACTGTCATGTAAAACCTCACCTGGAGACACAATTCTCTCTTTAATGTCTACAGTCAGCTCTCATTAGCATTACTCTGATGTGAATTATTTTTTCACTAAGATTGCCCTGAGAAGACACTGCTTATGCATAAACAGACTAGGTAAACTGCATATATATCCATGACGAACAAGTAACTCATGTCTTTAGGGATCATTGCTTTAGGGAATCCCAAACCTTCCATGTGAAGGATTCCTTCAAATTGACAAACTCTCCAAACAGGGAGCAGCAGCATGTACTAGACCGTAGTCAGGATGAGATGAGCAGCAAAAGTCCAACGTTTGAAACCTTTGAAAACTTTACACGCAGTTTAAAATCTCCACCTTTTGAAATCCACACAGGTGGATCTTCTCTTTTGGACCTGAATCTGGTTCACTGTATGTGCAAGTGGCACAATGAGGACCATGCAATTTCCCTGGAAATATTGATGCAGGTGTTCATTATTTCATTCATCTTCACATGCGCTGTAAAATAATGTGAAGTCTTGTTCACTTACCAGCCTCGCACAGACACACACAGCAGAGCAATGAGGTCTTCGCTAAGAACGTTACTAGATGTCGTCCCATCTCCTTTATGACAAGAGTCAAAGTCCAGAGAGAAGCGTTAAATTACATCCAACTTGATCTGATTTACATTACATCACGTTTCCTAAATTAGTTCCTTAGTTAGTTGCCTTCCTTGCTGATCTTAGTCTAGTCTGAGTCCAGTCTGAGTCCTGCTGGTGCACGGGTTTGGAATCAGCCCTCTCCCGCAGGGAATACCGAGCCAATAGAGCAGGAGCGCGTTTCCATGGATTGTGATTCGTGGGTGGGATTATATGCCTTCTCATTAGCGGTATATTATTCCACCCGTATTCAGGCGCACCCCGCTGAATGGAGAGCGTCTTGTGAGTATGAACTAGTAGCCAATCATAGCGCAGGAGGCGGAATACCATCAGCCAATCACAGAGGCGGGATTTGTCGGAATACTGCGACTGTGGTAAAACCTGTAGGATTCACTGATCTACGCTCATACAAATGAAATTGGTTTTATTGATTGTTGAGGAAACACTTTAAGCTGTTTGTGTTCAGAAGAGCTTTGATTTATGATTAGAATGCTAAAACACACACACACACACACACACACACATACACACACACTATTTAAGAAACTGACCAGGCTCTTAAAGGAGAATTCCGACAATTTTTCAAATTTTCCGCATAAATAAATGGTTAACATGTAAACAAAGTCACTCATAGTGGTCTGATGTGAAATGTTCTGGTCGAGAGAAACTAACAGAGTCAGAACTGTTCACAGTGGAGATGATAGGAACCAGACGTCCACCTCTAAAAGCTCCCACACAAAAAGAGATGAATACACTACCTGATGTTTGAGACAATGTTTTACAATAGTTTTGAGAGGGATTTTGCCTAAATTGTATTTAAAAAACATGGTGGAGGGGTACATCCAGGCTTTATAAAGCACTTTTTTTTTACCATCGTCAACATTACGTATAAAAACTCAGAAGACGCATATAGGTTTAGTGGTGGTTTTGCATAGTGAAAATATTTGTGCTGTAGACATGGTGACCTCTGGTTCCTATCACCACCACTGTAAAGAAATCTGAGTCTGTAAGTTTCTCTTGACAGCGCCATTTCAAATAAAACCACCCTGAATAACTTTGTTTAAATCTCAACCACTAAATTATACAGAAATGTTGGAAAATCTGTGGAATTTCCCTTTAAGAGGAATTTTGAAATATTGACACTCAGTTGACTGATGGAAAGTAGCTAATAATGACACTGCATACTATTAGTGTGTCTGGTAGTAGCATTTACCTAAATGTGAATTAAAAATGACACAATGTGCGCAATTTATGAATGTGTAAATTTATAATGTTACAATTCCCAGTAATGCCATAATGCCTAGTAATCCAGCAAGCCTAATGGTTTGTTTGTAAAAGTCTGTCAGTTACAGCAATTATAAGGTTTGCACACCAGGGGGTGCTAAAATTCCTCACATAAAATTTTACAGAATTTTCAGAAACTTTCAAAAGAATTTTCAGTAAGGTCTATAATACTATTATAATAAATTATCTGACTAAAAATATATTTTAGATCATATTATTTTTAAACTATGGCTTCAACGAGAGGAGTCTGCGAAATGCAGTCCATCAGCATTTTAAAAGTGCTCAAAAGTATTGCAGCATGAGGGGAACAACTCAAAGTTTGTGCCCATGATGCAGCATTATTTTGACTCGGCAGTCATGCTCTTTAAAACATCAGGCACAGCAATGTTCAGCCACAGAATCGGCCTGGGGTTATTGATAAAATCTGACAAGTGGGTAATCTTAACTCACACACCCACGACCCGCTCAACAGTTTACATAATGTGCAATAACATGCACACTGAACATGCAACTGGAAGTGTTTACTTACTGTTTTTATTTTTAACAAAGTATTATCTGGCTAAGCATGCACAAAGCATCATGGGATACAGAGCACTACTTACCAGTCTCAACAGACAAAGGCCTAATCCCATTTCACCCTTTGCTTGTACCACTTAGCCCTTAGCCCTCTGTTTTGCGCATTCACGTCTAGGGGTAGGGTGAACGTGTTGAGATGGAGGGGTAGGGCGAAGTGTCAGAGCTACGTGGCCCTCAGAGGTTTTTCAGAGGCACACTCCAAATGGAGTGCTACGAGAAAAAAAGAAAAACCAGCAAGATGGCTGCCAAAGCAAGCAAAGAAACCCACAAAGTATTTCACGATAACCAAATTACAATAACCACTGTATTATCTTAGTTGAATGTCGTTTCAATGTATTTTGGTCCTTTTCTTCATAACAGGCATATGAAATCACTAGTAGTATGCTGATGTTTCTGTAACTAGCTAGCTAAATTTCCCATGGAACCATTTAAGGTGGAATGGGAAATTTTGAACAAGAAGCTGAATTTAGAGAATAGCTGACTTTAGCTTAATATCACTGAAGAATTAGGGGTGGGTGATAATAAATAATTGGGGCATCGCCTCCGCTTTGAAGGTTCCCTAAGTTTAGCTAATGCCCAGCAGCGAGGTTGCTGAACTTACCCTCCTCTGCTATCACTGCAGACTGGCAGGGTCGCCTACAGAGCACTGCTAGTAGCCTGTTAATTAAGTAATGTTCTTTTTTATTGAGGGTTGTCCCATTTCACTGGGGAAGACTCAGTAACTCAGTTCCAAGTTGCAAGGTGACGCTCAAAAACAAGGGATAGGGGTAAAAATAAGAAATGGGATGGGACCAAAGTCTTTGAAATGTCTAGGAGTCCATCACCCCTTCTTCAAGGACTCCTGGCCCGAGGGGGTATCTGGTGTCCTCACAGGCTCAGCTTCTGGGCCCTCTGCTAATGCTGTCAGGGTGTCATGAGCCTCTTGGCAACCCACATCGCACAACAAGTCTCTGGGGTGCATGGAGTCACTGTTTGTCCACTGTACCAGCCAGTACAGTGCCGTGGATGTCCTCAGACCCCTCTCAGAGTCTTGTCACAGTGGCTCTTCAGCATACCGCTTTCTGGGTGTGCTGTCCTCCTCTGACCCTGGCGGGCGGCCGAACACTAGCTCAGTGAGCATCCTCTCCATCAGGGTGCCGGTGCAGAGAGACTGAGTGAGGTGTGCGACCATGACCAGAAGCCACTTCTGCTCTCTAGCGTTGACTGGGCTGCCAGTGATGGTCATCCTTCCCAGTTGGCAGGTGTTCCACTACCATGGCAACAACACAGACGAGCCAGTGTCAATGAGGGGCATGAGCTGTTTCCTGTCCATACTGCACTTAACCCAAAGTCCTTGGTGGCAGCAGATCTTTGCGGCTGACTTTCATTTCCCGTCTGACTTGGGTTTGTGGCATTGTCTGGTGTAGTGTCCCCACTTCCTGCACTGCCAGCACACCAGTCACTCTACTGCTACTTGCTCGGGGGTTGCGTGGCACATCGTCTCTTCCTTAAGTTCCTCCGCTGCAAAGCATTGTGTAGCGAAGCATTGGCATCTCCTTGTGAAGGATGAGTTCTGCCCTCTCTGCATCTTCTTCCAAACACACACTGTCACTGCAGTTCGCCATCACAGCTGTATGAACCTGGCTGCAGCCTGCATACCCAAAATCACCTCCATCTCTTCCGCCCACTGTAAGCCTCCCCCCAGGCAAGTTGGCTTTGCAAGCTGCAACTGTTACTGGAGCCTTAATGGCCTTATTGCCTGTTGGAATGCATCTAAAGCCAAGCTATCATGGGCTGCTGCAGCAAACCCCCCATAGGCGAGCACCACCATATTCTCTATGTTGGTAGGTTGTGTCAAGTTACCATAACCTTGGCAGGGAGCTTTAACAATAACTGCAGGGATGTCCTTTCTTCTATCTTCACTTGGTACCCCCAGCTAGCCACTGCTGCAACAATCTCAAATTGCTGTAGGTAAGCTCACCAACTCCCCATACCATCATGACGTCTTACCTACATGGGGTAGCTCCAGCTGACATGTTTGCCGAGTCATGTCAGGGGCTGGTAGCAGCATTGGGCATAGATGCCATGGAGAAGTTCAATGCCTAACTGCCCTATTGACCACTGCATCCATCTTCGCAATATCGCCAGAATAAGAAATGCCTTATCGCTGCACGATGCAGAAACATTAGTACATGCCTTTATTACCTCAAGGCTAGATTACTGTAACGCACTACTATCAGGATGCACCAGCAGGGATTTAAGTAAACTTCAACTTGTTCAAAATGCTGCAGCCAGGGTTCTCACTAAAACTAGAAAATTTGATCATATCAGTCCAGTTCTATCATCACTCCATTGGCTGCCTGTTAAATTCCGTATTGATTACAAAATTCTTTTATTGACGTATAAAGCCCTACATGGGCTCGCTCCTGAGTACCTGCAAGACCTTATTTCCCATTACGAGCCACCACGATTGCTCAGATCACAGAGTGCTGGCTTTTTAATAGTTCCCAGAATTCAGAAGGTTTCATCTGGGGGAAGAGCCTTTTCTTATAAAGCCCCCAAACTCTGGAATGATCTTCCAGAAAATGTTCGGGACTCAGACTCAGTCGCAATATTCAAATCTAGGCTGAAAACTTACTTGTTTAGTTTAGCTTTTGGTAGCTAATGTTTCCCCTTGGATAAAGGCAGCAGAACCAGGGGTCCATGGACGCAGGGAATTATAGTAAACTGAGACTGGTGCTGTCGTCCCGCCGCTCACACGCGAACACTCAGGTTTGTGGAAGGTGGAGCGGAGGGATGCCAAATTGTTTCAGGGTGCTCCCGTGTCTGTGTGCCCTTTTGGTTCGCTCCTTTTAGTTAAGCTGTTATAGTCAGATCTGCCGGAGTTATTAGCCACACTCTGGAAATGTTTTACATACTACTATACATACACCCATACAGAACCAAACTAACTCCATTTCCCTACCTTTCTTCTGAGAAAACGACTGCCCACCTGTCCGGCCGGACACTGCTGGATGATTGTTTGTAGAGCTCTCCGCTTCAGACCAGTTACCCACAACCCAGTCACCGCCACCTGCCTTGGACTGGCTGCCCACTCTACACTGAAGTCTCCTAACTATTACTACCTCCTAACTATTACTACTACTACTATTAATATTAGTAGAATAATAATTTTGTAGGTAGTTTGACCAGAGGAGGATGGGTCCCCCCATGTGAGCCTTGGTTCCTCCCAAGGTTTCTTCCTCAGCTCTGAGGGAGTTTTTCCTTGCCACTGTTGCCCCTGGCTTGCTCACCTGGAGGATTTACATTTCATGTTGAAACTTTGTTCTAAACGGATTTCTGTGAAGCTGCTTTGTGACAACATCAGTTGCAAAAAGCGCTATACAAATAAATTTGATTTGATTTGATTTGCAGGTTGACTATTTATTTGGCTAACCTTCATGTTTGGGAGGGGCGTTGCACCCCACCACCCAGCACATTGAGAGTCTTCAGGAGAGTGTACTCTTCCCCAGGGCTGGGGGGATGAGTACACTCTCTTGAAAATGGGCCATCTCCTCGTCATTTTTGAGCTGTGGAGGCTTGCTGGTTTCTTTCACCATGTCTGGAAGAGAATACTTTTCCCCTGGTAACCCGGACCCCCTGGCCCAGTTCTTTGTGGTGTCTTCTCAACCTCCCCCAGCACTGTCTCCATCTGCTGCTCCAGGCCCCTCATGCTGATTCCTACCTGGTGCCCCACCAGATCCTTGCACTGCCGCTAAGTGGGGCAAGTGGGTCTCGCTGGCACTCACTGAGATCGTCCTCTTATTGCTTCTGCCTATTCTGACATCACTGTAGCGATACACAGAAGAAGCATAGGCAACTTAAAGTTCATGACCATATAAAATACCATTCTAACCTTGTCATTGTGCTTCTCTCTCTCAGCTACAGATTTCCATGTGTAAACTGAAGAAAAGCAATCTGATATTAGAACTTTTTGGAGCATCAAAGCCAAAGTGTGGGTATAGGTGTTTCAATACGCAGAAAATCAGTCAGATACTTCACTGTTCTTTGTCCACCAATTCAGTATCCTAGCAGACTAGAAGACAGCTAATCACATTTTTTAAAATATAAGGTAGATTTTGCTGTACAGCACATGCATCTGTGTTTTTCAGTTGTTTAATAAGTCTCGTATACACGTTCCAGACTGATAAATTATTATTTTCATCCTGATGTTTTTATCTCTTTTTCCCATAAAAGGAAAAGTTAGTTAGAAGAATTTTATTTTAATAAATACAATAATATTAAAGTGCACGTAATGATTTTTAAGTTTCTATTCCTGATATTGATGAACAGTTTGATGTAAAAACTAATGTTAATATAGTTAGTAGGGTAGCTAGTTAGAACACTTATGAGGCTGCATTACAACTGTGAATATTTCTTGTGAGAGGAAGATTAAAAGTTCAGCATGTTTGTTTAAATATAAGTAACATAATTCGAAGTGTTCACGTTTTGCTGGTTCACCGTTTAACGGCACGTTCTTAATGTAACACATCCATAACGCTAGAAATTGGGCTTATGTAAAGCACTTATCATCTGAAGAGTGGGGTGATATGATCAGTGCCCCCTGCCCCCACACCACCTCCAAATTAAATGTGTCTAATTCATTGTTTCTCAGTTTTTTTCTCATTTGTCCCTCTATTCTGTTTCTTCGCAAGTTCGCGTTGTTTTTTGTTTTTGTGAGAATTTCCCGGACTCCTCAGCATATTTTGTCCCATTTTCTGTCCCTTTTTCACAGCTCTGTCTGACACTCAATACGTGTCTCAGATTGCTCCACTGTCCACTTCACACTACACATACGCTTTCCGCTCAACAGTCAAACGCGAAGCTGCATGCAAACGAATATGTAAAGTATGACCGCTTTCATTTACAAGGACTCACGTCATTAGCTGCCCTAGTGCAGGGGGCGTGACCAACCGCGCGCGCTTTGGCGAGGATGCGGCTTGCAGAGCACATTCGCTCCTCCTTCTTCTGCTGGTGGTGCACAACAGAAGGACAGCTGTAAAAGAACTTGAGCATACCACCAACTGATCGTTCAAATTAAAACACATCTACTACAAGTGAAACATTTACATCTCAAATTCATTGTTTATTATTAGATAAAACCGTTACACTTATTCCGAAATTAGATTTGATGTACCTATACATTAAGTTAGATAGATAGATAGATAGATAGATAGATAGATAGATAGATAGATAGATAGATACAGAACTTCATCGTCCATTTCTGGAACTTTGCCCCTAGGTTAACGACAGCTGCACCACAATACAGAACACAAAACATGTAATGTTGCAATATCATACAAAATATAGGCCAATCTAGGACTGATAACATTGATCAAAGGATAACGCGAAAAGGGAGTTCAGTCTTCTGGTTTTAGTCTTTTGGTCACATGGGGGTCCAGATTTTTTAAACAAAACACAGAACAGAAAATCCAAATTTGATTCTAAATACATACATACATACATACATACATACATACATACATACATCATCTAAACCGCTTATCCTTCTGGGTCGCGGTGGGGTGCTGGAGCCTATCCTAGCTGTCATTGGGCGGAAGGCAAGATACACCCTGGACAGGTCGCCAGTCCCATACAGACAGACATACACATTCGCACACACACTCACACCTAGGGGCAATTTTAGCATGTCCAATTGGCCTGACTGCATGTTTTTGGACTGTGGGAGGAAACCAGAGTACCCGGAGGAAACCCATGCAGACACGGGGAGAACATGCAAGCTCCACACAGAAATGACCCTGGTCGCCCGGCCGACACACACACACACACACACATATATATATATATATATATATATAACCATACGTTAGGAATTTGATCAATTCCTAAGCTATCGTGAACCCAGAGGCAAAATTCCAGAAATGGGCGATGAAGTTTTCTATGTAATTGATATGAATGTGTTTATTTTTGTGTTTTTGTGTTTATGTACACCCCTTTGGTTGGTGGAGCTCCAGCACCTCTGACCCTCGGCCCCGCCCCCAGTGCTACTTTTCATTGGCTACTTATCTCCTGTGTGTCGTGCTTCCTGCTGAACAAGTCAGCCCACTGTACACCGCACTGTATATTAAACAGGTTCACTCAGTGCAAGCGCTGTCGCTCGTGTCGCTGACTCACCATCCGATTCTCGCTGCTTCGGCTCTACGTTCAAGTTCGATGTATAAAGCTGCGCTGTTTGGACTGTGGGGTGGTGTGTTAACCCCTCACCCGCTGAAGTCTTTTCAGGAAGTCGAAAAAGTTATTAACCTTTCAAAGTAAGTGGTTTCACGTCTCTATTTCTAGTTCATAATGAAGCCCTTTGGTTAAAGCAGGTTGAATCTCCTCTAGGGATTTCATATGGAACACCGTCGTGAAGGGAGGAGACCAGAATGCCCTGTTTCGTGCTGAACGGGGAAAGCTGACCCTTACACAGGTAAAACTTCCGCTCCTCTGTAATTGTGCCCAGTCCAAAGTTCAGGAGGCCTGTTCAGTTTGGGCTGCATACTGAGAACTTTAAATGCAACATTCAGAAAAGTCAGTGCTTTTTACAGGCTTTGGGCATAGTTATTGATTAAATCTTTATATGCTTGAAGATGTTTCCAGAGCTGGAGGCTGAATGTCAGAAGGAGGCCGACAGTCAGGGCCTCCCTCTGCCTGCCCAGTTCTCAGCCCAGACCCTCTTTGATGAGGTAAGGAGGGTAGAGTTCAACAAGACAGTGCTTGATGCTGCTGCAACTCTTCAGCGTCAAGGTATGCAGCACATAAACCTGAGTACCACTCTCACAGCTCCCTGTAGATTATCTACAGATGTTCCAGTTATCTACTGATAGTGGATTTACTAATTTATTAACTAGTTGGTGAAAAGTAGTTGATATTCAACAGTGTTATGGTTACAATTAAGGTTAAGGTCAAGTAAAACTAAAGGGGGATTCCATCGATTTTTCAAAATATCTTCATAATTCAATTGTTGAAATGTAAGAGTTTTCTTATGTGAAATTGTCCACTGTAGACAAATTTACTGACTTAGATTTCTTCACCGCGGCACTGATAGGAACCAGGAGTCGCAAAGTCTATGCAAATATAGTCATTTTATTTACTATAGTTTTTATATGTATTGTCGATAATAGCAAAATGGAAATGGAAAAAGAAAAAGGAATGGAAAAACATTTTCTTTGCTTTGTAATGGCATCCTTTCTGCAGTGAGTGGCTTAAAAAATATGTTTTAGGCCAAAACCCTACCTCAAAACTATCATAAAACAGTGCCTCAGGCTTCAGGCAAAATATTCATAACCATTTCATCATAGTATCTTTTTGTGAGTTTGTTTTCAGAGGCATTAAATGCCTGCTGACATCTAGATGCTATCACAATCTCTAAAAATGCTGTTTCTCTAGAGTTATGCATTTTGCTTTGAACCACTCTTAATCATTTAATTATGCAGAAATGTTTAAAAATCTGTGGATTTCCCCTTTCATTAATGGATAATTTAACAGATTAATTTAATAGATATTTAATTGAACATACGTTAAAAGCAAGGTACGCATCAACAAAGCATCTACAGAGGGCTATCCAAAAAAAAGTTTCCACCTCATATGAAAAATATACAGCGGTATAAATAAATCCTGTACTGATGGTTCCATGAATTAATTCTCTCTTGCTCATTATTAAGGAATAAGTACCTGTGTCTTGGCCAACATCTGGGTTGATGACACCCCTCAGAGGGACAATACTGCTAAAGTTCTCTCAGTCTTGGAAAGCCATTTTGACCTGGTAGTGCGATCCTGTCATGTTGGGGCAAAGTTTCCTGAACCTGCTGTGTTCCACAGTGCCTTGGATAAACTGAATGTTAAACCCCATGAGGTGGGAATAACATTGTCCTTGAGCCTCAAACAGAACATGAACACTACATTTTTGGCTCAGCTTTTCACACACTTTACAAATTGGTTAATTCTGTGTGTTTTGTGTTCAACTAGTTCAGAGGTTCCTGCACAGTTTGGTGATTCTCCAGCTCAAACACACCTGATTCAACTCCAGTTAATTGCCAGGTTTAGTTGGTGTGCTAGAACAGGGAAAACACCAAACTCTGCTGGATTAAGGCCCTGAGTTCCCCACCCCTGAACTAGTTGGCCAGATGTTAGTAGAGCTTTCATATGCCGCATGATCATCATACCTACATTTCTTTAATCACCTTTCTGTTCAGGCTCTCTGGTTGGATGTTTCTGAGGAGAGTGTGAAGGCAGCTGAAAGCTTAGGCATGACTGCTGTTCACATTACTGACATCAGTGAAGCACTGAAGAAGATGGAGAAACTTACAGGGATAAAGGTAATGTTTGTTTTTGTTGGGGGCTCACAGATTGTGCAGCAACAGATAGCCTACAGTCAGTAACTGTATACTTGCCACATAGTGAGAGAACTTGATAAAATGGCAACACAATGTATGTCAGAAATAATAATTAGTAATGCTGTAATTGTTGTTCTTATCAAATCATATTCAGTAGGTCAGAAATCGAGACCATGTTCATATTTATAATTACTCACATAAAGTTGGTAAAGGATGAATGTATGAATAAGATGATGTCGCTGATAATTAAGACGAGGGAGAAACTCAGTTTTTAACACATGACTGTAAATCATTAGTAATCCAATTTAATGTTAATTATCAAGAAGAACCAAAGATGAGTGCTTCCAAAGTGTTGTTGACATTGCTGTAAAACACACTTTACAGTCTCTTTACACCATCTTTTATTTCATTGGCTATGTATTTATGAAACTAAAGATATCAATAGTGTAAGCTATTAAGCTTCATCCTTAAAGCTACACCTTGTAAGTTTTGGGGATTTAGAGACGGTTTGCTAGTGTATGTCAGATGTCTCAGTGACTGGTATTGTGATATCAACAGCTTACTGGTGAGCAGATGCCTCGCTTCTGTGGTCCTGAGGAGGTCAGCCATGGATATGTTACTGTCAAGGTAAAAGCACAGCATCATAATACCAGTGCAGTGTTTTTGGATTGCAACTATATGAGCCATATTTTTCAGTGGTGATAAGATTATCATGCCCTAGAACAGTGATTACAACCTCCAGTTCTAGAGCTGCCTGCCACTTGTTTTGTGGTTTGAACTAGAGGAATAAGGCAGTGTTCACATTACAGTGCTGAAGTTTTTTTTGCCCAAATGCGACACAGATCTGAACTTTTTTTCTGTATATACACTACCTTTTAAAAGTTTGGGATTGCTTGTCATAATAATCTTCATTTTATAGAAAATATTGAATCTAAATCTATAATACAATAAAGATTTACGTATAATTGTGGAGGTATTTTACATATTATAGTAAAAAGGTATTTTAGGTGTCTTGTTCAGTAGTTCAAGAGGTTATGAACTGATAAGTAATAAACTGTAATTATCTATTTACCAACATTTTTTGTCACGTTATCTGCCTCAAGATTTGTTCAGCACTTTGAAAATACAAGGCTTTCTTTTTAGAATCATCTATAGCTCTGTTCATCATTCTGTACCCATCGATTCTTTCTTCATCTTTTTCCTACAAATTATTCGAAACCTGTAAAGTTGCACCCAAGTAGCACAGTAGCCTCATGTTATACGTGCATCTGCAACCAAATTGATTATATATTATTAAAAATACTGATTCCAAACTTTGGAACATTTGTTTTCGAATATTTGAATGGTAGTATGTCTAGTTTGTGTCCATGCGATTGTATTTGAACGATTAGATTGGAATCTATGGTTTTTACATCACACAAATGTGCATATCACTGTGATCCATCATCCAGTGTCACATGTGGATATGTACATCATGCATGTGTCAATTTGAAAGTGTGGGCATGTGGGTTCTTGTAGGACATTAAGCACATTAAGCATATTAATGCAACACATCTTGAATTATGTCACGTACACCTTTGCATTGCAAAATCATCTTAAGTACTGTCATATCAATTTTGTTATTTGAACTGCAGTTTTGATCAGTCAAGGACTGCTGTGCTTAAAGGGCAATTCCACTGATTTTTCAAAATTTATGCATAACGTAGTCGTAGACATTTTATCTACAGTCCAAAACGACCAGTGATCCTACATGTGTCTTCTAAATTTTTATATGTAATGTTGAAAAAGGTAAAATAGTGGTAAATTAAGGGAAATACGTTTTATTTGAGGTCTGTTTTGCCTTATCATGCCATGTGTGTGCCTCTCTGCCCTAAATAGATTAAAGCATATAGATATTTTGGCCCAAAAGCATATTTAAAAACTCTAATGAAACAGAATCTAAGGCTTTTTGTAATCGTTTGTAATTACTGGTAGGTATGACATTGAATGGCAAACAACAGTTCAATTAACTACCAATGATTACAAAATCTAGAACCAGAAACTGGATTCAAGGTCTTGATTTGAAGACCTCTGCTCTAAGGCATAAGGTAACATATTAGTTACCATTTCATGTTGTAACCTTGTCTAGAATGGAGCGTTTAACATCAAACTGCTTTGACTTTGTTTAAACCTTAACAATTTAATTTTGCAGAAATTTTAAAAAATCTGTGGAATTCCCCTTTAAGCACAAGAGGGTCAATAATTCTTTAATGTCAATGTTCACATTAATGTTGGATATGGATCACTTACAAACACAAATGTGTACTGTCTAGGCAATTGAAAATAAACAATAGGGCCTGTAATATAAACGTAGCCAAAGTTTTAGGGGTAAGTGCTGATGCTGTTGCCTAGCAGCAGGGTGATTTATGGTCTGCCTGCCTCTTTAAGCCCGGGGTGAAGATCCATTATGTGGAGATGGGGGATGGCCCTCCTGTTCTGCTCTGCCATGGATTCCCTGAAAGCTGGTTTTCCTGGAAGTACCAGGTAAGGTAGCTGCACATGCTACCCAATGCAAGCTGAGCCCCTACACCATAAAGCCATAGACAGTCCAGAAGATGGGCTAAATTCTGAAAGCTTTGCTGAAAGAAGTGTCTTGTTAATGATGTAGCATGTGGAGTTCAGCATCTACATGGGGAAAGGCATTAATGACATTTATCAATGACATATACTACTGCTCTCAGATTCCTGCCCTGGCTGATGCCGGCTTCAGGGTTATTGCTGCAGATATGAAAGGCTATGGTGACTCCTCTGCTCCAGCAGGTCAGTCCATATTATAATGAGCTGTACCCATTTCAAATGGTTTAATTGCATATCTTTGCTGCTGTTTCTGGTCCACATTATCTCTGTTAGGTATTTCTATATTCTACACTATTTCTAAGGGCACAGAGGTCATGCTTAGAATTGCTTAGAAATTAGACTGAAATAAAATCAAGGGTTTTTTGTAAAGCTACAGAAAGTTCATTGCCAGATTGGAAATGTAGCACCCCATCAGTCCAGTTCTGTCATTCACTCTCATCCTTCTGATCAATGCCCTCTGAATTCCAAATCGGCAGGGCCTTTGATATGTGAACAAGACAGTCTTTTAGTGACATTTTAATCCTGGCCCAAACCCTTTCAAAGTCGAATGATCTTGCTTTTGTCTCTGGAGGTATCTAAAATGATCTCTTGGAGTTTGAAGAGCACTTTCAGGACAGATGAAAGTTGCTATTAATGTTAGTTTCCATCAAGACATTGCAAATCCCTATGGTAGAAGAGCAAAGTCATTACTCTGTATTTGCACAAGTTCTCAGTGACTTATAGAATGTATAAGGAACCCTGATAACCACATGTTACATAACCACCCTATGACCACCTTGAGATGCTAGGTTCAAGACAGACAACAGAAACTAATATTAGAAAGTTAAATATGGCCTCTAAGTTCTAAATGAAGTTTTATGCTGCTGTAAAACATAGTCTTTGGTGTTAATGATAACATCCAGTTAGAAACCACCAAATACAATTTAAAAAAAACCATTTTTTTAAACCATTTGAAGGCCTTTAAGGGATGCTTTCAATACTTTCTTAATTCAAATACATGCTTCAAATGTCATGTGGCTTTTTTGAGAGTGTTCTATATACATGATGCCCTCTTGTGTCACACATTCAATTTAAAAAACAGCATGAATTTCCAAGTAAGTGCGACACCTGCCTCAAGGTATTTTGATTCTGTTCATGTTGTATGATGATTTGGACCCCACGCTGGGAAAGAAAATAAGAATTGCCGTTCTTTAATACTTTACATGTTTAGTGTTTTGTATCTTGTGGGATTCTGTCTGATGGGATCATTGGTTTCTTTGCTGCGTTATTATTGTTGAATATGAACAGTTATAGCAGACAGTTCTAGATATATCCTCTAATCTCTTTGCAGATATTGAGGAATATTCCCAAGAAAGTCTTTCACAGGTAATCTAACAGACAGACAGTCAAAGACATGCCGAAATGTTAAAAATAATTGGTGATTTCATATCATTTTCATATCTTCTGTTTATAGGATCTGGTGACTTTCATGGATAAGTTGGTATGTATATTGCTTTACACTTATGAACAGTATTGTGCAAAAGTCTTAGACATCTAAAAAAAAGAAAACGATTTATCTCAGCAGTAAATGTGTTTTGGCCCATAAACACATGCATACAGTTAAGGATCTGCTTAAGCAGGTATTGGACGGTAACTGACAGATATAAATTCACAATGTATTGTTTATTTGTATTTACTTTAATGTTAATGTTAGTGTTTTTTTCCAAACAAATGATTACTTCCCAATTAAATAGCTTGTCATGAAGCCTATAGTCCTATAGACATATATATGTCTGTGTATTACCATGTAATTTCAATGGAAAGCAACGTGAAATAATCATATAACATATTTTTAATATAAAATTCCACACCTAAGATTCAGCCGCTCAAAATGCAGCATATTCAGGACACCAAGAAGTGCTGACTTCAACACATTTGTTTGAAATACTTGTTCAACTGCACAATTCTGGACTGAATGAATATATTCTGTAGGGTCAAAGTTTCTCCTCCTCCTGTTCAGGCCAGAAGGCATGAAAAGATGTTTGAGAGCAGCTTTGCTGCTGGACTTTTCTATGCATCTTGGCTCAGTATCACAGGAGCCTGTCTTTTAGTCCTGACTCACACATACCCGAGTGTCAGAGTGGATTTAATTCTCTCTTTAAGAGTCAAGGCTGAGAAGTGTGAAAAAATGTGAGCTTCCTTTCTGGTGATGCCAGGATGTTTGTAAATTTACAGATTGAGATTGCAGTGGAACCCTGAGTACGTCTTGCTTCCAAATTCAACATTAATATGCCTAAATTGGTCTAACTGATTGACTGTTACATTGTGAAATCACATGTCCTCTTTCTGCACATTTCTGTAGCAAATCAGTGGTTTTGCACGTCTGTTTGGCACATTGAGTTTAACTGTTCCTTAACATTCCTCAGGCTATTGCAGCATTATGTTTATCTTTTGAAGGGTGAACACATGTAGAGACAGGCCCAGACATTATATGAGACATTTGCACTCTGTATTCTTGGGGACAGTTAGTCCCTGTAAACAGATTGTCAGTGTGTCAAGGATTTTTGTATTATTTTGAAAATACATAATGTAGAAATGTCATTTTTGAGGGATAAATAACTATTGTGCTTCAGAATGAATTCAACAAATGAAAAAAAGTAAACCCAACTAGAAAGGGAACGTTTGTCAATGAACTTTAAGTTGGCTTGACAAGTGTTGCTAGGCTGTTGCTATGGTATTCCAGGTAGTTGCTAAGGTGTTGCTAGGTCATTGTTATGGTATTCCAGGTGGTTGCTAAGGTGTTACTAGGCAATTGCAGTGCTTTCCCAGCTGGTTGCTAAGATATTGGTAGGCCATAGCTATGGTATTCCAGGTGGTTCCTAAAGTGTTTGCTGGGCTGTTGCTTTGGCATGCCAGGTAGTTGCTAAGGTGTTGCTAAGCTGTTGCTGTGGTATCCCAGGTGGTTACTAAGGTATTGCTGGACTGTTGCTGTGTTATCCCAGGTGGTTGCTAAGATGTTGCTAGGCCATTGCTATGGTATACCAGGTAGTTGTTAAAGTGTTACTAGGACACTTGAGAAATGTCCAGAAAACATTTGGCTATAGAGTGTATACTGACTGTGGTGGAATGAGAGATAGAGGTATAAGCATTATATATTATATATTAGTGGAATAACCAAGTTTCAGGATGTTCAGCATTTCCTTGTTTATTCCTGTTGTGTTTGAATGAATGCTATATGAACATCATAAGTCGAATCAGATAAAACAAACCCAAGCAACCTATTCAGGTACAGGCTCTACATTCCTGCAAAGTTCTGTGGTTCTAGCTCGAAAGCTGTAAGTCATGTAGCGTTGCACATTTTTGACAATAGAATAATTGTAAGAAGATAACGAAGAACAGTAATTTAAAGAATGAAAACCATTGATGGTCTTGATTCACAGGAGGATTTGGATTATGTGCTCTTACAGTCAAAATGATCTAAATACTTTTGGGAAATTAGGCCTTATAATTACATTCGTGAAATACGTGAGTATGTATGAAACAACACATGAGGAACAAGCAGCAATCTGAGATTGTGACAGAGAAAAAATCATCAGCACAAAGTTGTTTTTTTTTTCTGAAAAAGTGATCCGTCATAGTTATTGGCACGGCTTAATTTAGTATCCTCCAATTGCCAAGATAAGAACTGAATTTTGCCCTGAAACCTTTCACCTATTTAGAAAGTCCTTGACTCTCACTGTTGCACTTTCCTCTTCTACTTTTTTGTGTGGTTTGAGAAGACTGAGTTGCATTTTTTTCCTGCTAGAAGATCCACTGACAAATTTTCTGTAGAAGCAGACAGATTTTACTATAAATTGTCCTGGAATTTAAGTACACGATGCCTGTAACCTTACAACTTTTCCATTCCTTTTGAATGGTTCTTTTCCTCTGGAAGTTCTGTTTCAGTTTAATCTTAAACTTCTGTTTTCATCTCTGTTCCAAAGTTGGTTTGCAACTCATTTTATGGTTCACTGAGTCTAATGGCAAACATTTAAAATAGCTTGTTGGTGTAGTGCTACCAACCCATCATGTTTTGGAGACCTGGTGACCCAGAGAAGCAACCACTATCTGCACTTCTCCTGAAAACATATCTGCCCATTCAAGCATTCTTTCTTATTGTGAATAGTGACAAACTGCTCTGATGTCCTTTTCCATGTAAAGTCTCCACATCCCCTTTTCAACTCCTTCTCATTTCTTGCCCTAACAATGGGTATTTCAAGTCAAGGCAATAGTATGGATATGTACTTATTTTTAAAATATCCATCGTCAGATATAGGAAGGTCAGCAGCCTTTATGTCATTTCATTTGTGTATTACCTGACCATCACCATGCTGAGCAACAGACTTCAGCTAATCCTGAGAAAAAAAGTAACATCATATTCATATCCCAGCAAAGCAGGAAGTTACAAGTAACTGCTTGTAACTTCCCAAAATCTCAGATAAACTTCTCACACTGCAAACGGAAAGATATTTCAGATTTTATTCTTGAGAATCTCCACAGTTACCAATAGTAGTGATTCATGCATTCTGGAAAATAATATGCTGATGATTTTTTTTCCGTAAATTTTTTTCATGAAAAGGTTTGAAAGTTAATAACATCAAGCAATAAGAACAAAGACAAATTTCAAGGCTTTAGGCACTAATTGGTAGTAATTAGTAAAGCAATTGGTATGCCAGTAATCCCAAGCTATATAGTGAACAGACAACATAGTGCATCATATTTGGCGCAGAAAGATATATAAATGCAACATTCACTCATCTGTAAATTAAAAACCTTGCTCCTGCTTCAGAGTCTGTAATACAAATAATGTGCTTATAGTTTAATTATTTTAATCTGAATTGAATTTGTGAATTTGTCTTTACAGGACTCTAAACTGTTTAATTAAGAATGTGTCACAGTGAGGATATTTTGACTACTTTTAAGTATAAATGACAAACACCATGACCTGTTGCATTATCTTTGGCAGACAGCTTTTAATATAATTTAGATTAATGTGACTCAGTTATTTTTTCCAAGTCTAATTCAATTCATTAGTTATAGGCACTACTGTGAGGACTTGAAAGTACTGAATATGAAAATATTATATTTATTTGGCTTCTGTGTAGATCCAGGACCATTTAGATTAGGTTTCCTACACTTTTGTATGTGTGCTCTTTGGCTTATGTTAACTTATGTTTCCATCAAAAGTAGTTTTTTTGTCTTCAAAAAAAATTTTTTAGTCTGTTCAGTCAGTGTCAGTTGTCATAACACTTACTGAGGTGAAATGACATTGAAACAGACAAAAGTACCTTTTATAACAACAGAAATAAGCCGTTGTAAATGTTTATGTAGATTTATGTCAGTTGTCATCAAAAAATTAAATATTGCTGTAATGTAGAAATTTATCCATACAAAAAAATACCAAAATAAAAGATGAAACAAATGTTTTTAATGTAAATGACCATTTGCGGAAGCATCTGTGACATTAAAAGTGAGTCTGAATTGAACCCAGTTTTTGAATGGTGGAGAAGTATTGCAGAGCAGACATGGGTTCAGATGAGGACAGACAGGGAAGATGACTGAGATGACAGACCCACAAAAAGCCAGTTGAGGTACATAGTAGTTATAGTGGAATCAAATAAACCTCTTCATAACCAGTTTGCTCCGATAGTGTTGGAATTTTTAAACAACAAGGTATGGATATTTCATATAAGAATTTTGAATACAATGAGAAGTTAATTGCGGATTGTAGTAATCTATTGGCAGAATGGCAGTTTCTGTAACACCAAATATGCATGACATTTCAGTGCAGTTAAAAATTGAAACATCTAAAGAGATTACAGGCTATAAAGATGTGATATCAAATGGCGAGGCCGAGCTTGATGTGTGATGATTTACTCTCAGACAATAACAGGGATGGTGGGGGAAGGGTAGCTGCAGGACTGTCACCCTATTCTGAGGACGATCATTATCCTCTAATTAGCCACTGCAGTTGGCAGGCTAATCAAGTAAATATTGTCCAGAGTAAAGTGAATTATCCTGGTGGTTGGAGTGATTGTTTTTTTAATTTGGGAAATGACTGACGTCTGAGTGTGGTTGGCTCCTCCACTGGCTGAGAGATTAACAGATGAAGATTAAGGCTGTAATAGTTTGGGTTGGTGTTATGGTTGATGTTAACCTGCCAAGATACCGCAGTTACAGGATGCCACATTTCTGATAGACATTGACAAAAGAAGCTGGTGCAGTTTGTGCACACTGTTAGTAGGTGAAGGTTAGTAATTTTAATGGTTATTATAATTGGTTATCCAGTCATGTGATAAAGGACTAGTGTTTTTAAGTTAAAAACAGTAATAACTTTATAAAATAGTGTTCAAATGTTCAGTTAGAGCTGGATTGATTACCTAAATAAAATTGTATGCAGTAATAAAAGTGCACCCTGAAGCTCAATGAAATAGCAAGAAACTCGGTCTCCAGTAAAGGCTTGATAATATGTGTTATTGGAAACATGGGCCAGTTATATTTCTCATTGATCATTGTTTGTTAATTTGAGAAGGATTGTTATCTAAATGTCTTCTTTTTTCTTAAACCCAGGGCCTTGCGCAGGTTACTCTGGTGGGCCATGACTGGGGTGGTTCGCTAGTGTGGAATATGGCTCAGGTCCATCCAGAGAGACTGAGGTATGAAGTCCTCCCTATCAACACACCTCTGACTATACTGTTCGTTCAGTATAGATGGTATACTATGTAGTTGTCAAGTCAAATCAGTAACTCGGTTGTTGACATAAGCTTTGCTTGTCGAGATACACATTTGGTTTTAATTGATTTTAATTCAAATGATCTTTTTTGCAATGCAAGGGCTGTGGCTTCTCTCAACACTCCACTGTTCCCTGCGGATCCAAACAAGAATCCAATGGATAGACTGAAGTCTATACCAATCTTTGAATATCAACTGTATTTCCAGGAGCCTGTGAGTTACATACTGTGGAAAAGTTTTCAAATCCCTTTCAAATTTTCTGAATTTTCTGTATTCCGTATTATACATTTATAAATACAGTATGCAGAGACACTTGGTTAGGTGAATACAAATAACAGTAAAAGTAATTACATGTAAGGTTATACAGTACTGTTCATTTATTTAATTTTCAGACAAAATGGACTCTAAGTTAATTTTTTGGGAGATATATCTGAGAAGATAAGACATAATATAATTTCCTTGCATAAGGAAGGGGAAAAAGTGAAAAAACAGGAGTTTTCAATAACTGAATTTCAAAATATTATTAAAAAATACAGAGAAAATAGGACTCTGGTCGACCACCAAAACAGTCACCGTCAGATAAACAGTACCTAAAGCTTAAAGCGCCACTCTTGCTTTAGATCTGAAAAATTACCATGTGTTTCTGTCCGTCCTTCTACTGTGAGAAAACAACTCAACACTGTGCGTTTGAAAGATGTGTAGCTTTCCATCAGATAAACAGTACCTAAAGCTTAAGGCGCCACTCTTGCTTTAGATCTGAAAAAGAAACCGTTACTAAAAAAAGGAAAAATTGCAAATCAAACAAATAAACTGCTGGCATTCTCAGAACAATGGACTGACCACCCCAGAGTGCGGACCTCAACATCATTAAATGCGTTTAAGTGTGGAAGTGCAGCGTCTGGACAGTCTGTGACGGCACATAACAAAAACACAACTGGATGAGCAAGAAATCCGACCGGCTCCCTCTGCATTAAAAGCCAGGTTAGATCAGGAGTCACAACTCAATGATAAGAAGAGCCATTTTGTCCTTTCAACAAAAATCAAACCACCTTGGGAGCCGCAACATTTAATGTCCAATATTTGTCAGTATGTGTTAATGTCCTAGTATAGGCTAAAAATATAAAAGAGAGTGCAGATTTACTTCGCTCTGCTTTAAGCTTTAATAGCCGCTTTCCTGCCCTTTCCGTCAGGAAACTTTTATTCAAAACTAGAGCAGTTTCTTGTAAAATGTTTCTCAGCGTTCGACTGTTTTACGAGGCTGAAGTCGCTTCTCATTCACCAGCTTCTTGTTCGGCTTAAAATTACCAAGTCACTTTTAAATAACAACACTGAGTCACTTAGTCACTTTAAATTGTATATTGTCTCTATATTCTGTGTATATTTAATATATTTCAGTTGGTTTTTCTTGTATTTTTATTTTTACCTATTTACTTTCTGTAGAGTGATTAGCTGAGCCTCACCACAAGCATTTCAATGCATAAATGTCCTGATATGTTGTGCAAATGACAAATAAACTTGAACTCGAAACTTGAGCTCACACAGTGAGAAAATATAAATGCTGTATAGAAAAAAAAGATGCATCGAGATGCATCGATAATTGTTTTATAATCGCATCGCAGCCCTCTGAATCGTAATCGAATCGTGAGGTGCCTAGAGATTCCCACCCCTATATATATATATATATATATATGAAGTTGATTTGACATTGCTTATGCCCAAAAATTTTCGAACTCTCATTGGAGATGCATGATAATTAGATATCTCAGTAACACTCATGTATTTGTGATTACTGTGTAATATCATTTTCTTATCAGACTGACTGTTCATTGTGTGCTGATGAAAGGTTTGCCAGTTACTTCATGTTAATATTACTATCCAGCATCAGATATGTGGGACATAGGCAAATATGCAGGGCATAGGAAAATATTTAGGGTCCATCTGCTTCCAAAAAAATAAAAGCAAAAAAATACAGTGTCTGCTGAAGTTGTTGTATATCCTGATCATAAAAGTGGCCTTTAGGATTACTGTTTAAGCACTCGTTAATTCATTTACCACCACCCAAATATTCAGACCAATATTAGCAGTGCTGTTTTTAATTTAAACCATGTATTTTAATGATTCAGTCGAATCATTAACTACTAAACTCTGTCAGGTCTTCATTTACACGCCCTGATTAGTATCTGAAGAAATGAATGCTCGTACATGGAATGTGTGTGGCCATGCACATTTCACTTCTTGATTATTAAACCAGCAGAATCCAAACTTTGCTACCACATTCCATGTGTGGTTTCCACATTTATTTGAGAACTTTATCCATGACATACTTTATCCATACAGGGTGAGATTATTCTTTGCCCTTAGTTTTTATGTCTTTCCGTCAGATTCACTTCTTGATCTTTTCACTCTTTTCATGTGATAAAGAAGAAACTGAAAATGTCTAGGTTCGAATACTTTTGGAAGGCACTGTATTATTTGAATAATGCTTATTTTGCACTGTGTCAGAGAAGAACAGTATACAAACAGTATGTTCCCTATGTCTGTCTGAACAGGGAGTAGCAGAGGCTGAACTGGAGAAGAACCTGGCCAGGACTTTCAAACTGCTGTTCACTGCAAGTGATGTAAGTCAATAAGTCAGACAGTGAAACTCTGGTCTGCAAACATGAAGTATATGTACTGATAAGAACTGATGTTAAAGATAATAGTTAAAAATAGAAGCTCGATAAAAATGCATATTCACAAGAATTGCCCATTAGTAAATGTGCACAGCACTGGGACAGAAACTGTTGAATAGTCTCTTTATTCTCAGCTTATCCTCCTTAAATGTACAGGGGCGAAGCTTGACTTTAGTTGGGTCAGTCTTGCTCCTGCTGAACAGTTCAGTGTTTCCCTGTTCTTGGAAACCTATGGATTTGCATATGTTTTGTAAATTTGGTTTTAATCATTGAGTAACTGCCGTTAAAGGGGAATTCCACTGAGTTGTTAAAATGTAAATAAAGCTGTTCAGAGTGGTTTGATGTGAAATGTGCCATTCTAGAGAAACATACTGAGTCAGAATTGTTCGCAATGGTGGTGATAGGAATCAGACATCTCTAAATCCCTCTAAAAGCTACAGAAGCTGTACAGAAAGTTACTACATTAAATAGTAACAAATATGCTGCCTGTTGCCTGAGACATTGTTTTATTTTAGTTTTTTTAAATTATACAGTAATTTTGAAAAAAAAATCGGTGGAATTCCCCTTTAATGGACTAGTGCAGAGTTTGCAGTTCTAACACAGACATTACTATGGATAAAGCACACAGCACGTCATTTACTGAGGGCATGAGGTCAGTTCCGCACCACAAAGATCAGTTTTTAATTCAGGACCCTCTCGCTCAATCCGTGAGAGTGCTTATAAGGCTCTGCACAAAAAGACATGCACTAAATATAGCTTAGTCAGAGAAGGGCCAACTGCGGGGATTCTGCTGTCTCAGCAATTTCCCTTAAATTGAACAAAATACAGATATGCCCTAGAGCCTTAATCTTGCTCCTATCTCAGAATAGCAGCCAAAATTGAAGACGAAAGCAGTGTGAGGAAGAAAAAAGGTGTCTGCATTACAAGCCTGCAAAGTCTCGTTCTGGTCCGTCAAGAGGGCATGCAGAAGTCTGCCTTTATCACAAGTGCCATTGGCGGGCTTTCCATATTTACAAGGTTTATCATGGCCATCAGAAAGCAGTGCTGATGGAGATCAAAGAGCAGGCTGTGTTGTTGTGGCTGAGTGACTTGGCATCGTAATGAGGGCCACATAAAGGCCCTCCATCCGGGCCTCTGCTCCTGGAGTAATGAGTCACTACTGACCAGCCAGGCCATCACTCAACCAGGCTGAGACAGCCGCAGCGCATCCTAATGAGTGCGTGGGCCAGCAGCGTGGAGGCCTGGCTAGAGTCCCTGCTCTGATGGCAGCCTTTTATCTCCACACTTGCCCCTTGTCAAACGGAGGATGTCACCCGCTCACAGAGGGGTCAGGCCTCATAGGAACGCTCCACACTAATTAACGTGAACATTCGTTCTTTCCACATGTGCTGCATCTATAAATGCCATTTGTGCCACAAAGGGGAGTGGTGATACTATTACTGGAGCTGTTCCAAGTTCCAAGGTGTTATTAGTAGGGCAAAGTGTGATAGATTTGATATGATCTCACTCAGAGAGTAGCAGCTATTCCAAGAAATAGTGAAGCAGGGACACGAGAGATCATATCTAGAAGGGCTAATTAAATTCAGATATCTTCTGTCAGTCAGTTATTTAATGACTATTAACATTCGCCATAGGCTCCAGGAAATAAAAGTGAAAGGTGAAGTGAAAAGACTGCTTCATTTTTTCTAAGCAAATGACATCACAAGGTTAAGGCATGTCAGTGACTGTAGTGTAATGAGAAGTTACAGTACTGTGCAAAAGTCAGAGACCCCTCTTTTGTTTTAATTTTTTATGTCACTTCCAGTCAAAATGGCACTCAACTTTTCAGGAGATATTTCTAAGGAGATTAGATATAAAATAATCCAACTGTATAAGGAAGGGTGAAATAAAAAGGAAAATCAAAGTTCAAAAAAAGATATCGAGCAAATGGAACTCCTAATGACCGTGCAAAACCTGGTAGACCACCAAAACTGTCACCATCAGACAAACAGTATTTAAAGTTTGCATCTTTGAGAGAGAGGAGAAAACTTTTGCTTCAGATCCTTCCACTGTGAGAAGAAAACAGTGCTATGAGTCTGAAAGGATGTGTGAAGAAGCTGTTACCGAGGAGAGAAAATAGATGTAAAACAAAAAAGCTGCTGTTGTCCTCAGAACAAAGCGTCATTGAATGTGTTTGGGATTATTTGGTGAGAAGTAGCAAATGCAACCAACTTCTAAAACTGAACTTTGGACGTATGGAAAAATATTCCTGTAGATTTCTTTGAAAAACTGAAAACAAGTCCTCTAAAAAGGATGAAGTGTTACATTAAATGTAATTATTTCAGCTTCTGCTTAATCTCTGTTAAATATATATTTTCTGTTTTTTCCTGAAGCTGAAAAATGAATGACTTGTACTTAGGGGCTGTTTTGACTGGAAATTAAATGAACGAAGGGTGGAGTACCCTATCTCAGAACAAGTATCCACAGTACTGAATATTAGAATTAGTTTGGTAAAGTCTTAAAAATCTTTTTTTAAGTGTGTTTTGTCATGTTTTTATAACAGGATAAATCTTGGGTGGTTTCTCCTGGGGTCCTTAAGAAAGGTAATAAACTTGTGAAACTTCTGAATTTATGCTAAATAAATCTACTGAATGAACCACCTGCATTGATCATTTGAATGTATATCATGTCCCATTAAACACGCTTGCCTCACACTTCGCAAATTAAATTTAGCATGTGGCTCTCACTCAGGGACAGTGTTAACCTCTGCAGTGCTATGGCCTGGAAAGAGCATAGTTTAACACCCTGGACTGTTGTTTGGGTGTGTTTTGACACTTTGGGGTGTGTAGTGTCTTTGAAGATTCTGTGGGTAATTGTTTTCTTTCCTGTTCCTCTCAGGAGGCCTGTTTGTTGGGTTGCCTGAGGAAGTTCCTAGGAGTTCCATTCTGACTGAGGAGGCTCTGCAGTACTATGTCCAGCAGTTCACAAAATCTGGCTTCAGGTACACAGAGAAAGAGGCTCAGAGTCTCAGAGCACTGCATTCCGTAACAGTATTTTTCGCTCCCTGTTAATCATTTGACTTGCATAGATACTACATTACAGTATTATTCATACTGCATATCCTCACTGATGTAACAAAACATCATAAATGATATTTTATAGGTACTTTATATGAAAGAGTGGGGCTGTCCTTAAGTCTAATGTGCGTTATGTATGTATGTATGTAAAAATATTTTATTCCAAGGAATTTTGGGCAGCTGATATTTTCAAATAGAGAAAACATTAAAAAACAAACTGAAGCAGAATGTATAATCTGTGCACTGATTATGCATGCACATTCATACATGATCATCAAAGTTGCAATTTTTTGTACTGAGGGAATGTTTGTGTCCAAGGGGTCCTCTGAACTGGTATCGGAACATAGAGAGGAACTGGCGCTGGCTGTGTTCCAGGCCGAGGAGCAAGGCAAGTGTGCTCCAGCTCCTCTAGCTGTGCTCCAGCTCTGACACCATCACTGTCAAAAACACCCCAGTGCCCGGCTCTTCAGCAAACTCGCATGGCATTAAGCACAATCATGCACGCTGCACACAACAGATGGCCTCCGCTGCCTATTCCCCAACATCTGCTCCTGAGAGGCCTGGAATGAAGTGCTCTGTTGCACTCGCTACATCTCTGATAAACATATCTCTTAATGCAGTGGATGTAGACCACAACCAATCCTTTCTAACTGTTAGGTGCTGCTCCGCAATGGCCACTCTGTTTGTCTCTCAGCCATAAAGAAATAAGTCATAGCTCTCCTTACTGTTCTTATCATATGTGAGCAGTTAGTTTGCAATATTGTTTAGTGTGGATAGCACATAAGACAACTACATCACATGCTTCAGAGAACTCTTTTCCTATATGCAGATCCTGATGCCAGCTTTGATGGTGACCACAGGGAAGGACAAAGTGCTTCTGCCCAGCTTCAGCACTGGCATGGAGCAAACGGTGAGTGCAAAAATGTAAACTTTTTATTTGTAAACTTGTAATCATTTTACATTTAACACAACATCATTAAACTCATTGCATTACTCATCTGAGCTGATTCAGTGAGTTAAATGCTTTTCAATCTGTTGTTTTTTTCAAGATTCCCAATTTAACAAGGGCCCACATTGAGGACTGTGGTCACTGGACCCAGATGGAGAGGTATGTAAATTATGTCTGCTCTAGTGTGCAGGTTAAGAGCACGTTGTTCATCCGGCTGGACGTCAAATGAACATCACATAAACACCCCTTAGATTTAACATTATTCATGTATTAAGCATTAACCCATTGAACCCCTGGCTTATTCAGTTACATTCGTCAAAAAAAAAAGACTAGGAAAGCATAGTTTTGCTGGGCCGGTATCAGATGCAGGATATAAACACTCGTGCAGTTTATGCAAGTGCTCAGTTAACATTTTAGTCCACCTGACCACATTTTTACCAGCTCCTTTTTGTAAATAAATACACATTTTCTTTTATAATACTAGTAGTACTATTACTACTACTAAAATCTCTGTTCTCTGTGGATTTGTATCATAGTTCTATCCACTTACATGTCATGAATAAATCCATTAAGACTGATTTAGGTAGCTGTTTAGTTAGGTCTGAAATAGTTGTCTGCCTGTCCGCTGAAGGCCTAGTCCTTTTCACCGCAAACCTTGAATTCCAACCTTGTGAAGAAGAGAGCATTTGACTGACATGCAAAATGACCAATTTCAGCCCACTGTTTTGCCACAGGTGATTATTAAAATCCCTCAGATATATCTCACTCATATTTCATCACAGCGTCCAGGGCAAGCAGCTGTTCGTTGTTGCTGACTACAATTTGCTGGAAAGCTGGAAAAACAAAACATTGCTGTCTGAATGATAAACACTGTACTGAAGTGTGTATACATGGATGTGCTGATAGCCCCTCAGAATACACCTGACAAATCCCAAGAGTTGTGGCAAAAAAATAACAGACACTCTGTGTGGGCAGACAGTCTCAGACTAGGTTTAAATTTCTACTCACACACTCACACAAATGTTAGCAGGTACCTACAACAATGAAACACTGGTAAAAAACACTGCTTATACTTCAAAGTGCTCATTTCCAACTGAAGTCGAAGTTTATTCGTGCTCGAATAAACACTAATTACTAGGGATGTATTGATACCAGTACTGGTATTGGGTATCGGTCCAATACCATGCTCATTTACTCATACTCAGAAATCCACTGATACCAACATTCCGATACCTGCTGATACCATTTGACATGAGCCGAGTGTGCACTACTGTGCTAATGAAAAAATGACTCCAACTGGCTGTGAAGGAGGCTGTGTTCACACAGAGAAGTGATACTTCTCCTTGGCATTTTCCCATCAAACCTGCACTGTGTGATTTTAGCCTGTTTTGAAACACAATCACAACTGCTTCCCCAGTACGAGTCAAGACACGAAGGCTAGAAAAACAGCCTTCAGAGAGACAAAAAGTCAACATTTGCTAACAAAATCCATAAATGCTGACTTTACTCTGTTTGACTGAATAGAATAGTGAGTTATAAATGTTAATATGGTGATTGTTTTGTAAAATAGTCTGTAGACAGGTAATTTTCTGTCCAGTTTTCTCTCACTTTCACCCTTTGTCAGTGTTATTTTATGTCTGTGTACTGTAGCTTAGAGCACACAAAAAAATAGCATTCATTTACATAATATATTAGCAATGAGCTTTCTTGTGCATAATTTCATTCATTTTGAAGAGCACTTTCTTGATTATAATATAAGAGCAGAAAGCAGAGTCCATGTTTTGAACAGGGTAGAGCTCTTCTGCAGGGTTTCTGCAGGGTGAAGGCACATGTTGGAGTAGTTAAAAACAATCTGCTGTCACTACAGTCAAACTGCCAATCTCATAAATAATAGGACTGACTGTTCTCAAGGTTAAACAACCCAACCTTGAATCCATTTCTCCACAAGAAATTCCTCAAATCCTGGCCATGATTTAAAGCCATGGTCTGCTGGGCTTTTGCATTTAAGAACCCAGAGGCGTTGTTTATCAAAAGCAAGAACCAACACATTGCTGGGTACTGGAGTTTTGCAAATAATGGATTTTTTTGGTTGTTTTAAAGAGCCCATATCATGGAAAAATTATTTTTTTTTCACTTTGTTGAAATAAGTAAGTTATGGTAGTCTAAACACTGTTTCAAAACGTATCATCAGCTCTTCAGTCCATACAGTCCAACTAAGCACCAAAAACAGCCCATTTTATTCCTTGTTTTTGCGATGTCAGAAAAAACAATGCATTTACATAAATCCACCTATTGAGCCTACAGCAGTTTAACCCCACCCATTCAAGCTATAAGGAGTGTTTGAGCCTGGACTGATTTTTGAAACAATACATCCGGCCAATCAGAACAAAGCTCATTTACATATATCAGTCTTAAATGCACAGTAATAAAAACAGCCAGAGATAAAGAGAGGTTGGAAAACGGTCATAAAAATGAATTACAGTTATTTTGGTAAATAAAGCCATACAAATCTCATAAGTGCACCTTATAATACAAGAAGAAGGTAGGATATGTGCCCTTAATAGGTGTTGATAAAACACCCTGATATTATGTAGTCAAGCTTTTGTAATGCTACAAATATCATATCATGAAATAGGTGGAGAAAATGAATCTAGAAAGCAATCTAGAAATTAGATAAGCATATTATACATAGGTCACTTCAGTGTAAGTATTAGCAGTCATAGAGATGGAAAGGATGCATGTTTTTGGATGAAACTACCCATACCCCACCCCACCCCATACACTCCCATAGTGACAGATGATAGCAGTTGCAGGCACCATATCAGACATAGTGGTGAAAATGGGAACTCCATCCATCTCTGCCCAGGTCTATGCAATGCATCTATTGTTCCACCTTCTAACTCCTGTCATTTCATTCAGGGGGGCATTTTGGCTAAAGTTGATACAATTCTGCTATTTCTGCAGGCTTTCTAGTGACCACTCTACCAGTGGAATGGAATTCAAATTCAAATAAAAAAAATGTTATATTTTTTATATTTTTATTTTTACATGCAATTTAATAAAAAAATAATAAACATTTCAAGGCTAAACTGGGGGATAAAGGCATGTGGATTCTTATGTATTTAACCTAGACTAAAAATACAAAATATTTGTGGTTAATGTTCCTTCCATATTAAGTGTGAGTAATCCAAGGCTTTCTGCAATAATAGTCAAGCTGTGTGTCTAATTATAGTCGTCAACAGGGCAGCGCTGGACAGGCAATGATTTAAGCATCTTCTACAATCAGCTGACCTGAGACCACAGAGCACTTCTGGAACAAAATTATTTGCTCATTGTCTCAACCTCAACCCTCACTCTCCTCTGAAGACACTGATCAGTTGGCTGTTTGTTGACATTGTAACCATTCCAAAAGTGTGATGCTGCCTTTAAAAAAAAAATCCCGGATTAACCAGTAGCTATATGTAAAACCTTTTAGCAGTAACGCTTCTTTGGAGCAACACCATAGAAGAACCATGATTGATTCCCTAAATAGCTTTTTAATTGCAAATGAGATGTGCAGGTCTGAAAAGCATTTTTAAAGTTTAAAAAACCTTCTAAATATAAATGTTAAGGTTTTGTCCCAGGAGCATTCAGCTTTGATCCTGGAGGGCTGGTGTTCTTTGAATTTAAATTTGATTCAAATTTGCACATCAGTTCAACATGAATAAAATACATTACATCTACATGATTCTTGATAAAAGTAGGTAAAATGAACAACGGTAATTTGTTGATGTAATACGTTCCATACATGTGGAACCAGTGTACATATTCAAGTAAATTCAAATCAACATTTTTTCAGTGCTGCTCTTCACAAACTAAAGGTTTATTCAACCCAGTTTTCTTGAGGTTGAAGGAGAGCACATGCTTACTCTGAGACTCTTGAAGCGCCATTGCATCTTTTTGAACTGCCATTAAAACAGCTTCATTGTGTGATGCAGGGAGGGGGGAGGGGTGTCCATCCTACCTACCCAGAAAGAGTGAGGCTATTGTGCTGTCTTGGACTCCTGGCCATGGATGACTCTGGAAATGTTTTTCCTAGACCTTATTTCCAATCGAAGAACAAGAAGCCCTTGTTTTTAGGAACAGGTGAATAGGTGGACTTGTGGTGTGGTGAAGCTGCAGTGTAAAACATTTATGTTCAACCAAAATGAAAGAAAAACACAAAGGGTTAAGTGTTGTAGTAGTAAGCATGTTACTACAGTAATAGGTGTGATACTGTGTGTGAAAGTGAGGCATTTTGGTGTAGATTGAAGCTAAACAGATGAAAGACTAGTCAGTTATCCTTACAGGGTGACTGAGGCGCTAAGCTACACTATGTAAGATTTGGGGATTTGGAGACCTCTGTGGTGAAATGTTTAATTGCACACAATGTGTGAAAGAATATTTTGTAATGTCGGTTGTGTTTCGGGATGAATCAGATGATTGTAAGCATGCTGAAAAAGTATACAAAGAGAACTCAGTTAAAACTTAATGAAGGATGTGTCTTCTGATGGTCTGATCTACTTTTGCCATCATGTCTTCATCAGTATAATTGTTGTTTTTACATTTGAGACCTAAACATTGAACTGGACCTTCTTTTTTAGCCTGTGTGTGTGATGTTGATCGGTAATGATGTATGACATGGTCCAAAAAACTCTATTTTCCATTTTAACCAATTTTGCACAGCGGAAAATTAAATGTCTTTACATTTCTGCATTTGTGATTGAAATTTTTTATTTCTAGTTTCCATCTTCTTTATATTTTGCAGTGAATTATTTGTTTTAACCATTGTTTTTTGTTCATCAGGCCAGCCGAGCTCAATAAAATCCTCATCTCCTGGCTGAAAGAGACACACCAGAAAGCATCCATACCCATCTTTCCAAAACTGTGAGGTGATTCTTAAGGCCTCAAGAGTTGAAGAGTACAGCCTCACTATGAGAATGGACAGCTACAGCTGGGATTCAGTACATTAAATTCAGTAATATTTGTATGTTTTTTACAGAACCATGCATTAATATAGAGCTTTGCACTATTTGCCAACCTAATTTTAGTTTGCATAATATGAAGTTAATAGTGCAATAATATGAAGAAGACTTTATTAAAAGCTTTGTGCAAAACAAAACAATAAATGACTAAGTGTGTTTGTAATAAACTGCATCTTCATCACTGTGTATACAATACACAGCTAGCAAAATGCACACCGTCTTCCTGATATAAGCTCTCAGCGGAAATATTAATCCTGTTCCAACTCCACGGCACAGCGCTAGTTCCTCACAGCCAGTAATCAACCCATTCAGAGCTTTCACTGTTATCAAGATTGGAAACAAGACACTAGCTGTCATTTCCTGAGGTGTAGCTTTGATTACAGTCATGGAAACCAGCCTCTTAGAACACAGCGCAGTTCTCTTTGTTAAAGCAAGTTGATTACTGTGACCTGAGTCTGCGTCTTATTAATCAAGTGAGGAGAGGTAGGCAGAGCAGGGCCGCCTTGGTCTCTTCCATTTAAACAGTTGTTACTTTCAGAATAAAGCTTAAAAGCATAAAGAGGCAGGGTTTGTGGTTGAGGGGGCACTTAATTTCATAGTCAGGGTTATATATTTTGGTAACACTTAACTGTAGGGCAAAGTTTATGAGGCTACGAGTCCTTCATGACAACTGGCATAACCTGTGAAATGTTTGTAAACACTTATTTCAATAAGTCATAATTGTCACAGTTGTCGTAAAGGATGCATTTGCCAAGTTGACATAACATTTATGTGAGGTGACAGATTTCTTTCTGATCTTAGATTGTGTCATGCCACTTTCTGGAGTGAAAAGGCAGATTTTATAGCTCACAGTGACATAATACTGATGATTTGACATAGCTTGCCATGTCAGGCTGGTTGAACAAAGTGAGCATTTTCTGTAGTCCTTAAGTAAAGTCAGTTTCATTTTACTGTTTATAAGGCTGGCTTCACATGGTGAAACATACACATAACTTTGGTTGCTTTAAAGCTACAAATTAAATTCTAGAAAAGCTGTAACAGCAAGTGAAATGCTGATAAAAACAGAAAGCAGTGATTAGTAAATTCTGTTTGTCCTATATTAAATTGAAAGCAAAAACTGTGCAAAAACACTCTATAAACCTTGTTAATTCATTTAATGACTGCAACACATTACAAAAAATTTGGGACATGAGCATGTTTACCAATGTGTTACATCACCTTTTCTTTTAACAGCACTTAACAATCATTTGGGGTCTGAAAAAACCAACTGATCCAGTATTACATAATAGTAGTAAAAAATAATATATTTTACAATAGTATTAAATCTTTGCCATCCTTCTATTATACAAGTCTTCAGCTGTCAAACCATACCGAGTCTTCACGTTTTCAATGGGAGACTGTTCTGGACTGCAGGCTAGCACACACACTCTTTGATTATGTAGCCATGTTGTTTTAACACCTGCAGAAAGTGGCTGTTAACTTTACACTGATAACAATCTGGATAGTCCTTTTCTTCCTTGGCCCAGTGAACATGATGGCCATCATTTCCATAAACATTGTTGACTCAATGTTGAAATGTTGACTCATTCACACGTTACAAATAAGACCACAATACACGTTTCCACTTTGCGTCAGTCCATTTCCAAAGAACTCCAGTCCAGAGAAGTCAGCAGCGTTTCTGGATGTTGATGATATATGGATTTCACTGTGCCTAGTACAGTCTTAACTTTTTTGGGACGTGTTACGGACATCAGTTTTACAGTGAGCGTATGTTTACATAATTTTTTATCCCTGTTTTTTTGAAATTTGGGTTTGTACTTTCAAATTTGATTTCTACAGATCAACAGAGGAGAAAATAAAACAGAAAATGCTTTTGTAGGCAGTTGAAAAGATGACCCCCTTGACTGACTCAAGGTGGGTAGTTCTTCATTTTGTGTTTCCTGAACCATGAAAACAAATATGAGTTTCTCAAAGCTACCTGCATTAACTAGCCAGCTAAGCTGTTTTTCTTTAGCCTGCTGTTAATGTGATTTACATATCTACATTCATTTTTCACTCTCTTTTAATGTCATCTCTTTTTACACAGAGCTCAGATTCTTTGGGGATCCAAAAGATAAAAATTATTATAGAAGGGGGGACCGAGACATTGTCCTTGATGATTGTGCTGTGCTTGTAGATGAAAGAGACATTAAATAGGCTAATATAGGCTAATTTTTTTAAAGGCTTCGCTTACACAAAACAGATAAGAATGCAGTTTTGCTTTGTGAAACTGTCAAGATACTGCACAGAAATAGTTTATGTTTATGTAGGCAACTTGCAGCATGCAACTAGTTGCATGAAAGTTACATCATGTAAAGCCAGCCTAAGATTTAAGCTATATCGCATCATCAGCATTGTCACTATGATAGCCAATAAGCTACAAAGTCAGTTGTTATAATGCACTGTCATTTCACCTTAACAAGGCACCCAATGTCAAAAAAAAATCAGTCACCTCACTTATGTGTTATGTCTGCTTGACATTAGAGCTGACAAAAGCAGCCTTTAGACAATGCCTATTGGAATAAGCTTTTATAAATGTTTATGTAGGTTTAATTCATGACTAGCTTATGTATGCGTCATGTAGCCTTATGAACACAGCCCTACAGTAAATACAATAAATACTGAAAATAAACTATACACAACACTATACAATAAACTATACTGCATAATATACAATAAGGTATACAACCATTAAGCGCAGGAAAGTAGAGGCTAGACAGTGGAATGTAGGAAAAAAACAGACTAGCTGTCAGTCCACAGCAGCAAAAAACAGTATGAGTGAATTAGTAATAGAGTAATAGAGGTGAGTTATGAGATTGCATGCAGACCCTCTACTTTTTATATCAGGTCTTAGCGTGTGAGAATGTCAGTGTATGAATAGTATACTGACTTGCAAAAGTCATTTTGTACCGTAGGAGCACATTTCACAAAAAACACCTATGAAGACTGATGAACGTAACACGGAACCAAATTTCACCACTTCCACTCAGAAACTATAAGCTGTTAGCAAGTGAGCACGTTAGCAACGTCATACTACGCTTAGTCAGAGTTTCTCACTTAGCTCAAACTGACTGGTATGATGGTGTGTCTCATTTGAAGGACCGCTGCTAGGTAGAGCACCTCCTTTGCAGCGTCCTTAGCAGCAGCAGTCTGCGGAGGAGCTTTCCTCTGCAGCTAGCACCAAATGATACGGCCTACCGAGGATTCAGAACTGAAGTTTGAGGTGTTTGGTTTGAACAGTGAGTGAGAGTCCCCGTTTTTGTTTTTTATTTCTTTTTTAAGGTTTTATTTTCTGGACCGGATCAGAAAAAAATATCTGATTCCGGGGGCAATTCGTTCAACTGGGAGTCTTATTCGCCAGGTTTCGTTCGAATTTTCCGTTCCACCTTAAATGGTGCAGCAGTTAGCGGACACCCGCACCTGCGCCAAAATACAGCTGCAGGATGATTTAAGGTGGAACGGAAAATTCAAATAAGAAACTAGCGAACTGGAAGCCTTCTTAAGCCTCGTGTATCAGCGGGGCGTTTGTGACTAACGCAAGAAGAAGTTCAGGTAGAATGAGCTCCACAGAACCTGCATACCTAATACAGCAAAGGTAAATGCATGTTGAAACAGAAAAAGTAATTCTGCAGGAAAACCCTCGGATTGTTCACCAAACCAGGGGATGGAAAAATGGACAGAATTAAAGAAGAGAGGATGTCGGTGGACGGAATGATGGCGCTGAACCTAGTTCACAGGGAGCTCCTCCATGCAGCCAAACGTCCACCAGTAACAACAAGAGTGCATCCAAATGGAGACAGCCTGTTGTTCCTGAAGCAGCCAATAATTGGAGTGGCATGAAAAAATGCTGTGCCTGAGCTGCACAAGCCAGGGCCTGGACCGTCCCTTCACCTTCAGACCTCCATGACTGCACTATCCTGTTCCCAGGGATGATGGTTTACCTGAACAGGGTGCTGATGCTCTTGATTGGCTTTGAAGAACAGGGCAAAAGTAAGACAAAAACTGTAACCCTTGAGCAGCATGAGCCGAGAGCATGACCGTCCCACCTCTGAGATCTTCAGGGCAGCACCATCACGCCTCCTTAGAAGGAGAGCACCTCTGGCAGCGAGAAGCACACTAAAGCGCACAAAGAAGTTGCAAAGCGGATAGAGGACCTCAGTGCTGCCACGAAAGAACCCACTACACGAACTCCATCAAAGCTGCACCCCGTTTTCTTGTGCTTCTTTCTTCTGGTGTTTCTCTCAGTTTTGACCTTTTTGCCATTTGTGACCTGCTGCTTTAATAGAAGACTGACTTGTGCAATAAAAGAACTGTGACTGTATTTCATGGGTTCTATATACACTCACTGCAGATTTTATTAGGTATGCCTCCTTGTATCTACACCCACTGTCCATTTTATCAGCTCCACTTACCATATAAGTACACTTTGTAGTTCTGCAATTACAGACTGTAGTCCATCTGTTTCTCTGTATACTTTCTTAGCCCCTTTCACCCTGTATGGTCAGGACCCCCACAGAGCAAGTACTATTTGGGTGGTGTAGCATTCTCAGTACTGCAGTGACACTGATGTAGTGGTGACATATTAGTGTGTGCTGCACTGGTCTGAGTGGATCAGACACAGCAGTCCTCCTGGAGTGTTTAAATACTGTGTCCACTTTCTGTCCACTCTGATAGACACTCCTACCTTGTTGGTCCACGTTGTAGATGTAAAGTAAAAGACGATAGCTCATCTCAGCTCAGCAAATAAAATGAAATTGTGTTTGAAAATTGTACAGAATTCCATATTTTAAATGTTTTCCCTGTAGAGGACATGTTAACTTATTTACACTTAGAAAAACGTTCAGTAAATAGACATTTACTGTGCATAAAATATGCAGAAGTGTGTTCTCTGTAGAGGATAACTCATTTGCACAACATACCAGTTGACCAGGGGTGCACAGATTTTTGCAGACGACTGTATGTTGGAAGGTCTAGCTGACTTTGTTTTTGGGGTTTGGGGTGGTGATGTCGGCAGTAGAACTGAATCAGACTAAACGTAACATTGAAGCTCATAATGATAAGCAGTTTTCTCCTCCAGCTGGAGAGAAGATGACAGCT